AACTACATACTGAGGAGCCAGGGGGAAAATAAAATATAAAACTGGCTTCCTCTTTGGAGTTTTCCCAGGCAACTGCTTTATAAGGACAAATTTAAATCCTTCCGTTTTCTGCCCTTGAAGGTGGTAAATATGATTGTGGCTTTATCCGTTTTTTATTGTAAATGAAATGGGAGTTCAGACCGTCCGGCTGTGTGTCACTTGTTGGATGGCTGCCACAGACTAATGTAGACGTCCCACTGGGAGACCAGAGAAGAACTACACTTTGATTCACCAGATTGTGTTAAATAGTCCAGCTGTTGCGATTTGAAAGATAGTTACCTCAGAAGTGAAATAGAAATGAACTTGGCATTTATGCCTCAAACCATTTTTATACTGTTTGGCAATCAGCTTTTCAGAGGCAGCATTTTATAAAATAACTCTCACTGCTTAAAAGTTTCATTCACTGTAATGTTCAAAATGTCCCACCTTTATATTATCAGTAAAATTAAGCTTGAGTGATATGCAGAATTTGCATGAAATAAGCATTTCCCCCTTCATTTCATGAGCTTTGATTGTATTCAATTGAGCTCAGAACCACGGTCTATTAGGGCTCTTTTGGGCATTAGTTAATTTGAATTGCAGCCGAAACGTTAGCTAGAATGTTGTTGAATATAATTGGAACATGGAAAGTTGATTTTGAAAGGAATTTCATTGAATGCAAACAATGATGTGCTTTTTAAAAATTAGAATGCAGCGTTTTCATCTCTAGTCATATAGTCTGAGAAATCACCAGTAAGCCCCTTTGTAGAGATCAGCTTTGGAATAACCATTTGCAATTGTTCTTATTCTTCTGGTACCAGTACCGCTTAGAGTGAGGTCTTTTACCAGCAAGTGTCTCTCTCCCACCTGCCTGAGCCCCGCATTCAACCTCTGCTGCAGTTGGGGGAAAGCAGCTGTTTTCTGTAACCCAAGTTTAACGTGGGCATCAGTCTGTGTGGAGTGGTATAGATTGGCATATTGTGTGCTAACTTTTATTTTGGTTTTGAAATAGCCGTTGAACACGTGTTCTCAAATCACCCATCACAGACCTGGGTACCCATAAATGATTACCCAGTATCAAATACAATCAGACAGTGTGCTATGGTTGGAAAATCATATTAGACAGGAAATCAAGAGTCTATAATTTTAGTCCCAGACTTGTTTCTCTCACGTTGTGTGCGCTTGTGTACCTTCACAAATGAAAAGTTCGGACAAACAACTGTGCTTCTTTCAGCCCAAACATCCCATGGTTTTCATCTTACTTTATATCACCTGTAAAACTTGTTTCACATGAAGATTTTACACCATGCAGGAAAAGAACTGACATTCCTTTTCCTGAAGTCCTTAATTTTCATTCTTTATTTGTGGTCATTGTCCTTAGATGTTGACTGGGTAGCTGAGCAGTTGAACAGAACAGTACCGATTTCTATTGAATTTGAGCTTCCGGAATGTCTGCTTAGGGCGCAAGCTCTAGAGCCTGTCAATCTGGCCACTAGAGGAAGAGCCTGGCTCCCTGGCACTCTTACTGGTGGGCTCTCTGGCTATTCTTGTGTGATGGGTTAGAGTAGAGTGAGGTCTAGGAGGAAGGCTCTTTATTCAGGAAAGAGCCCTTGGCAGCTCTCTATAGGAATCTGGAACGTGGTCTAGTGATGTCAAACCAGGAGACCATACAGATCACAGGAGAACGACAGAAATCAAGGAATAGCTTACAGGGACAGACTATTTATTTACACATCTAAAGTGGATTCAGAAAGAGAGACATCAGTCAACATGCCACACTTAGCCTGTGACGTGGTCATCATGCTTCTGAGAGAACTTGCCTTTTCTGAACTGCTGCATGGTATTGTGGGAAAGCAGGAATGGGGAGTCAGGAGCTCCTGGCTCTGCCGCTAATGAGTTGTGTGATTTCAGAGCAGCCTCCTCCCTTCACAAGCCTCATGTTCCTCTTCAATCACAGTACAGGCAGGACACGGTGACTGTCATCGTCTGTTTTAGCCGCAGTCCACTGGGATTCCAAGTCAATGGGCCATAACCCCTGAAAAAAACATTTTCTGACTCTCAATGCGTAGATTCTGATAAATTACCCACTGTGCCGTGTTCAGTGATATTCAGCAAAGACTTTCTCTGATTGTAGTTTACCGGTGACTTAGTAATATTAGTCTGCAGCTGAGAAGCTTACTTAGGGATAGAAGAACAATGCTTTGCACGGAGACAATTCCAAGACAGTTTCAAGTCAACGTTTGAAGGTTTCTGACTTACTAGTTCAGGTTTATTGCCTTTGTGGAGCTCTGAGAACCCTTCCTTCCTGGAAGTCTTCAGCCATTAACTGAAGAGGAAAGCTTTTTCTCGAATGTGGGCATGAGTCCTTCACCTGCAGACACACCTGGGTGTGAGGAGCATCTGTGGGAGGTCTACAGAGTGATGAAGGGCAGCATGGGCTATGGACATTCACTTAGAATGAGATAAATGCTTCATCTCCGCATGCCAAGGGGGATTGGCTGACCTACCGAATAGTGGTTCAGACCCAACATGGTGAACTCGACTGGAGCCTTAGTTGAGGTTTGAACTGTAATCACCTCGCTAGACTGAAACATCATTGTCCTGGTTAATCTAGCCAGATGTTTTCAGGTTAGGCTTGACCACAAGAGAAATTTGCATGAGATTTAGAAGGTGGAAATGAAGGTGTCGTTCTGAAGGTCGGTGCAGGGCAGGCACACTACAGCTCACTCACCGTGTAGCTGATGTGTTGGTGTGTGGCAGCAGCTGCATGCAGTTCTCCAGCACTCCGTCCTCCCCAGGGTCATCTCCTTCAGCATCTTCAGATCCTGTGTCAGATACATGCACAGCTCCATGGTGAAGGGTTCCAGCCTGTCCTACAGACCATCCTTACCATCAGGATTGGAGGTGGTAAGACACAGATGCAAATCTAGCTTGTCCTAGATCTTTCCCGCCAACATCCTTTTCCGTCTCAACTCCCAGAATGCCAATTTCAAACCGAGCATCAGACCTCGAGGCAACAGGCTTACCTAGACTGTCTAGCTCCCTCCATGGTGTGAGGCCTCAGTCCTCTACCTCCCTTACATCTCTTACCAGCCCCTGATGCACGCAGTCTTCCAGGTGTCTCCTGGGTCACATAACAGATAACACAGGAACACTACACCCAAGTCATGGACAAGGTTGACTGTGAGCATGGTGCTTAGAAAAGGATGACTTTTAAATAGCTTCAGGCTCTGCTGTTGAACTGCAGTGAGAGAAATTGATCCTCAATCCATAGCAACCGAGGTCTAGAGTGGTTTCTTGGCCAAGGTGGATAAACAACGTCATGGTGTTTTCCAACAACAGGGCATTGTCAAATCCAGGCAAAAATAGATAAATTTTCTCTCACTACAGTGTAGCTTGCTTTCTAGGCTTCTGGGCATGTCTTGACGTCTACCACTGCCAAAAGCAGACAACAATAACCAACCGCTACAGTTTGTATCTAACCTAGTAGCAAAACGGAGTGGTTTTCTAGTCTTTGGGAAAATTGTGGTATTGGTCAGAAAGTGATAAAAATGTGAGCATTGGGTTTGAGGCTTTTGTACTTGGGGGTAATCAGGCCGCTGACTTTCTCTCCATAGCTGATCATTCCTTCTCTTGCTCTCAGTGTCTTAAGAGCGTCTTCAGACTTGCTTACACCGAAGCATCCATTTCTCTCCATTCATTCTGAGCCTTTCCGTTTATTAATAGGCACGGTTGCCTTTACTCCACAAACACCAGGATCCGAGCTGGGTGGCAGGGATCGAACTGTGGGCAAAACTGAACAGTCCCTGCCTCATGCTGCTTCCATTCAATTTAAAGAGGCAGGCATTAAAGAACTCATTACACATGCACGTAATTATAATTGTGGTACGTTCCCCAAGGGGAAAAGTATTTCCGGTGGTCAGAGAGGATCTAACTGGGGATCTGCCATGGAGGTCAAGTGCTGGTAGACACTGGCCAGTGGTTCTCCAGTGTGTGTCCTTATACCCAGGGTGGGAGTGGTGGTGTGCGGGAATGTGTTTGACATCCAGCACTCTGGGGCAAAGATCATGAATCCAAGGGTTGGTCAAGAAGACTAAGAAGAGGCTGCCTGGCCACTGCTGTGCCCACGCCAGCAGCCTTAACCTTCGGGACCTGGGTCTGCAGGCTTGTGCCTTCCTCTGGTGGGCTCTTACCATGACCTCTGAAAGGGCGAGATGCCAACAGCTGAATTTCTTGACACATGGCAGGAGAAGAGTGTTTCAGGCTCACCTGTCCCTACAGCAAAATTGCTGCTCCTGCCTTTGGAGAAACAATAGCTTCCTGAAGCCTAAAAGAGCAGAAAGGGGAAAAAGACGCATCTAAATTTAAAATCTCTCCAAACTCCAACTCTGCTCTTTAGAAATAAAGTGTGTGGTAGCTTAGTACTTTAGCTTCATTTCTGGCTTCTCCCATGTGCCCGAGCCCTGCCTCACCCTTCCCTGACCTGATCAGCTCTCTTCTAGTCAGTAAGGGCAGCAGTTGGCACATCTCACAGCTGTGCATCCGTGGTCAGGGAGAGTCACTTCACCTCTTGGAGGCAGTCTCCTCAGAGCTAATCTGCAGCCAGATGTTCCAGGGACACAGGGAAGGTTAACTGGCTCTCCTTCTGGCTAAGTGGGGCAGGGCGGGAGCCAGGGCACCAGCTGAGGAATGCTGGGCGCTGCACCTCCTGAGAAGAGATCTAATTAAAGAGGTAGGTGCATTTTGCTTTTTAAATGTTTCATAGGTAATTGTTTGTTTTGCCTTCTTTCTTCTGTCCTTGTGCTCCTCATATGTAATTGGATAGCATCTTCTTTTCTAATGACTGCCAATCTCATAGACAATGTTGTGCATGTTGGGTAGACTTAGTGCATTTTGGTTTTGATGTTTGCCTGAATCCAGGAATATGACAGACAAATCTTTTCTATGTCTGCTTTTTCTTTGTTTAACTGTTCATTCCTTAGGCCTCTCAGTAACCCTGGATGCTGGAGAAAAGCCGTGGGCGATGCAAAACAACCTGGACCGGTTGTAGTTTTAGGTCCGATTTCCACACATGAACCCCAAACCAAAGATCAGGTGGCTGAAAAAGATGCAACTCAACCCCAGAAGGATGAAGGCAAAATGAAACCAGAATGTAAAGAAGACAGCCTTGAAAAAATCCGAGAGACAGACAGCTCCAGCTGCTGATCTATAAACCAGGAGGCTGACATGTCCGGAAGTCCTTTGCAATAAGCACATGATTTGTTTGGGTGTCTTGGCAAGGGCTACAGGCATTCTTTTCTTCTAAATCTATTCAGAATACAGGCTCTCTCTAAACTTTCTAAGGAGTTCAGCTATAAACATAAGTAAGCAATTTAGCAAAATACACACTCTTAAGTAGTTTTTGGTTTTGATCTTTATAGGGCTAAGTGTTTTTTCTAGTTACTGTATTAAGTGTGACTTCTTTTAAAAGGGTTACAAAAAAATCCAGATGTTGGCATCTTTTCAGTAATGTACATATACCACTCGTCAAATGTAATGCTGAATGTTTTTGGTACTTGTGGATAACTGGATAAACAGAACTTACTAAGTTGATTTAAAGGCTCCCCAAAAGCTTCTGCTTGGGTCTGGTCCTGATCCTCTTTTGATGGAGAAATTATGGTATCATCGTGGCTTACACGTTACTCTCTCGGGCATACTGAGATGAACTTAAAAAGCAAAAGTTGCCATCGAATGACTGCTCCTGTAGTTAGTGCTTGTTGCACACATTGTTAAATATGGGATGCAAAGTCCATGCTATTGATCCTGTCTAAAGCCTGCTGAGAGCTTTGCTGAGAATACTCTGGCATTGTGCATTAAGTCAAAGTCCCAAACCTGAATTCAGTGCAGTATGAAATAAGTCACATGCTCTGTGAATTAACTGTTTTCCGCTACACCCAGGTGGCACAAGTACCATGTCTTATCACAGTTCTGACGAGTGACAGACAAGTGTAGACAAGTGACAAGCACACCATTTTATTGCTTTGCTACTACTGTTTGACATTACCCAGGGTTTTGGGTTTGTTTTTTTCGTGTTGTTTTTTTTTTTCTAAAGAAATTAGGTGGTAGTTAGTCTCTAAAAAAATTCAATGTTTCCAGCTACCACAGTGAATAAATAGAAATGTAATCAGGGATTTTTTTTCACTTATGCAGCTTTTCAAAGTTGATTGTTTCAAAATTGGTGTTTATTTAAAATACGTGGTAATGTACTTGAATGCATTTTTGTATGACAATGATTGAGTCACGGTAATTTTACTATTAAAGAAAGTGAAAGGTTTCGTTTGGTTCGCATGGCTCAGCATGTAGCTGTCAGGTTTCTCTAACCTAAGGGCAAAAGAAAATGATAGTCATAATTTCAGTAGTTGTATTTTATGTTTGCACGTTTGCTAAGCATAGGTTTGAAGAGGTGGATAGGCAGGTAAATGTACTTCATAAACTTGGAGATAATGATCTTTCTGTAGGTTTGTTCTGCTTGACTATCCCCATGTTTCTTCCCAGCAATGACTTGACAATTACTTATCCACTTACTGATGGGGAATTAAGATGTGATGTTTTGCAACTGTAATTTTCCCTCACTGAATCCTACTGCTAGACGAGAATGGCTAACTACAAACCGCATTAATTCACTTACAAGAGTTTCTCTTTTGCTGTGATTTGAGCTCTCCTCACTCCAACTTATTAAAAAGCCACTAACGGTTTCCCACGAAGCATCTGTTGTGGTTATTGGATTATTGCCATTCTGGATTAATTTCCTCAAGCTTGACATTCTTCAGTTGGGTAGCTGTGTGAGAGCTGATGAGTACAGGAACTTTTAAGGATCCACAAGATGGTCTCTTTGAGGAATTGTATTCCGTTTCTTCTGACTCTCCTCCATGTGTCTGTTACCAGTTTGCTGACACACCCTTGAGATGTTCAGGAATATAAAGGGAAATAAACTTGCCGTTGTCCATATTTCATCACACACATCAAAAGAATGTTTATCTTTATTGCTCAGAAGTAACTATTTGGAGAGAGGTGTTAACTGACTGGACAACAAACACCAAAACCCAGGCTTACAGCCCTTTTCACCATGATGACAATACATTTTAAATGAATTTCTTGTAAATGTATGTACTGTAGGTCATTTATTCATCTTTATCTGTCTGTTTTTCCCCCTCCTTTTCACATCAGTTTTGAGAATAGTATTTTTACCCCTGATGGAGTGTCATTAGCAGGTAGTTCCAGATGAGAAGACTAGTGCTTGCCTCCTCAAGTGATTTGCACAGAAAATGGCACATCTCCTACTTAGGTATCATTTTAAAAGTTCGAAGGGTCTGTCATCTGTGTGTGTGTGCTTTCCATTCAAAAGACTGTTTATAGTTGCTTTTATTTTTGAAGCATGAGAACTCATCCTCTAGAGTATTTTTAATTAATGTTCATGTGTTTTTATGGCCAAAGGAAGGCAAAAGGATGGGAGTACTTTGTGCTCTTATTTAAAAAGAAAAAAGAAATCATCTCTCTCCTTTTTTGGAAGGCTAAGAATTTAACTGCAATTTTAGCTTTCTTTTTCATCTTAAATAACGTCAGCTCCTCACCCAGTCATGTCAGCAGCGGATCAGTCAGCTCCATGGAAGTTCTGAATGGCTGCGTCACCTGGTGGTGGTGGTGAAGTGCCGTTGAGTCGGATCCGACTCATAGTGACCCTGTGTAGGGTTTCCGAGGAGGGGCTGGTGAGCTTGAAACACTGACCTTGCAGTCCAGCGCACTAACCTACAGCACGACTCTCAACAGCATGGCTAGTCCCTGATGGATGATGTATTCGAGTTGCAACACCAACCACCCGTCTGGTTGGCTGGTTGGTTGGTACGTCATTAGTGTATGTACTACATACTGTGTTGCAGCATTTAATTTGCTGATGTTATCGTTCTTAGATGTACACTGGCAGATGGCCAAAGGTCAGATTTATAATGATACTGATCATAAATGTAAACAATCATGAAGAGTTTTCAAACAAGAAAGAGGTATTCGATTTGAGTTAGAACCAACTTACGCTGGAGTCGTTGGAATGGAACCCCGTTGTGAGTCAGGGGTGACCTGTAAAACGTGTGCTACACACAGAGTAGGTCTCTGCAGCCACTTTTCACCTGTATGTCAGGAAAACGCGCAGACCTTGGGGATACTGAGGGATCGGTTCCAGACCATGCAGTTACGTGAACATTGCAACAAAGCCAAGTCACACATGTTCTTGGTTTCCTGGTGCATATGAAAGTTATGTTCACACTGTAGTCATTGAGGTGTGCAGCAGCATTGTGGAAAAGTCTGAATGCTGAGAGAGCTACCCACATGTTACACAGACATGCCATGAGCACATGCTGTCGGAAAAATGGTACCGAAAGACTGACTCAATGCAGGGTCGCCACAGACCTTCAACTTGTAAAACTCACAGTATCTGCGGAGTGCAGTAAAACGAGGTATGCCTGTATTTAGCTGGTAACTTAGTTACATATTTGTGCTCTGTTTTTGTTCATTTCATTATCATTTGTATCACAGTTCTGGCTTATATATGATTCCTATAAGATCTCTCAGAATTCACGTGTGTGTGTGTGTGTGTCTGAGGACATGTGGGAGGAATGTGTGGACACCCAGTCATGTTTTTCCTGCATTTAAAATGAATTTTCCTTCCAGGTTTCTCATCCCCCATTGTCTGCTGCTAAGCGTCAGGAGAGGGAAGTAACAACCACAGAGTCTGACACAGTTTTTCCAACTTAAAGGAGGTTTCCCAACCAGATCTCCCACCCCATGCTCAGACAGTCCGCCACTGAGCCCATTTCTGCTCTTCCGGGTAGAGTTCCCCTGTAGACTGCTCTTGAAAAGGAGAGCTCCTTTGTGTGCTGAGTAAAAACATATAAAATACACCTGAAATCCAAACTCAGCTAACTCTCCTACAAGGCAGTACATAGCAATTTATATAATTTTGGGGGAAAGGCAATTCGAAGCCCTTTTAACAAAGACCCTAAAGCATATGAAGTGGTTGGATGGTGTATCTGTAGATATGTGTTTCAGCATGCGTATTTCTGGTACTCTTATCCCAACACAACTTTACAAAGACAGTTCACCCCACGTGCATTTCACATCTTTTTAAACCACTTGCTATTTAATATTAGAGTTACATGCCACATGCCATTGTATAAATAACTGGGACTTTAATAGCCTTTGGAATATTTGTTCATTGATATGTTGGTTGACACCCATTTTTGCTCCGGGGAGGAAAAAAAAAAAAGATCTAAAGAGACACAAGATGGTATAAAGCATACAAGAAAACCCCAAAAGGGTTTCGAGGCAAAGGGAACTGAATGTAGGAGAGGGAGATGAAGCTGAGGGTTATGACAAGACAGACTGAGGTTGGTGGCAGAGATGTGTGTGCGCTTTCTAGCAGTGAGGAGACGGAGGATGGTCACCTCTTCCAGGTACACAAGGCAGCGGCGGCGTGCTCAACTAGGATTTGTTTCAGAGATGTTCGGATTTGCAAAGTATGAGGTATTTGAGCTGAGTTTGGATTTGGTCACAATGGTAATGACCTCCTTTATTAAGTCAGGACCTTTCAAAATACAGAGTAGAGCTACCATACTCACCGTAATGGTTAGAAAATGAAATTCACAGGGATCATTTGAGGCAAATGTACCATGTATGTATGTTATTAATTAGTGAAAGTAAAAGAATAAGAACGGGTGACAATTCGGAGTAAGATCAATAAGGAGACATGCTTTGGATCTACCAGCTTCATAATACTAATGGTGTGCATGGTTAAATAGGGTGTGACGCTGGCTCAAGGGGCTCACACATTGGCTGGTTCCTCTACAACTTCTGTGGGAAAGATGGGCTCCGGGGGCTCAAGTAGCTCCTCATCCGCAGCTGCAGCAGCTTCAGCTTCCTCATTAAAGTTTAAAAAAGTGCGCTCTTGGAAATCTATTAAAAAAATACAATAAAACAGAAACCCCCAATAAAGGTTATTGCCTGTTCCAACGGTGCTAATTTGAAGATGATGTTTGTGGCGTGGTTTCAAAGAGACCATCTTCAGAACTGTCCAGACATGTCACATAGCAGTGCCACACTCAATGGTGCCGAGATTCACTGAGATTCACCACCGGAGCGGCTTCCTGAGCCATTGAGACCCGGGCCTGCCTTTGGCGTAACATCAGGAGCGCACCACAACTTCTTTTCAGTTGACTTCACACCCTAATCCAACATTCTGGCACATTTTGATGTGCAAAGGTCTTTGACACAGAGACTTGGCAGAAAAGGGGAAGAGGAAAGAAATAACCTAAAATAAAAGAGATGGTGGTGGTTGTGTGCCGTTAAGTCAGTTCTGACTCAACGACCCTGTATAGAGTTTCCAAGCCTGCACATCTTTATGGGAGCAGAAAGCCTCATTTTCCTCCCCAGGAGTGGCTGGTAGATTCTAACTGCTGACTTTGCAGTTAGCAGACCAACGTGTAATCCACTCCGCTACCAGAGGCTACGTAGATGAAAGAAGTGGCACACACAAATGAAAACCACTGTCTGCTACAAGGCTGCTGGTTGCAGACACAAATTGTGATCATGCCCTCAGAGGCCCTCAGAGACGGCTGGCTTTTAATGGCTGGGGGCCTGGCTAACATTTCCCTACTCACAAGTGGGGCTAGAGAGATTTGTCCTCCATTTTTTAGATGCCTTCACATTTACGGACCGCTGCAAATGCCAGAAATTCTAGTTAATCCATAAATCCATTCTGGAATGCCTCCAAGGAAGGGGCTGGGTCTGGGGTTTACGGGTGTCTGGGAGGTCTTTCTGATGCCCTGAAGCAACTGTTTCCTGTGGGGTGAAGTCAAGCTAGAAATGGAATAAATCAACAAAGGGACCTGCTGCTGCCATGTGCCACCACTTAGGACAACAGTGTCCCTGCAGAGGGTTTCCAAGGTTGTAGATCCTCACCAGAGCAGAAGGCCTCATCTTACTTCCACAGAGCGGCTGGTGGGCTCAAACTGCTGACCTTGTGGTTGGAGCCCAATGTGTAACCCACTATACAACCAAAGTTCCCCAAGTCAGTATGACACACACACAGAGCCAGCTGATAGGTGAAACAATGCAGTTTTCCTGTTTGAAGTCCTGGTGTGACACTAGGATAAGCACTGGACTACTAAACACAAGGTTGGTGATTCAAACCCACCAGCCGCTCCTTGGAAACCCTATACAGGGTCGCTGTGAATTGGGACTGACTCGACAGCCCACCATCATTTGAAAAAGTTAAGTATTTGGGTTACACATGCACACAAAACACAAGCAAACTTCAGAGTCTCCTTACATAGCTCAGAACAGACTTCCCCAATTTTATCTTTATTTCTTATAACTTAAGAGTATGTTGTCAAAGTCACTGCTAAAATCATTCATGGTAACTTTACCATCACAGTGTCCCTTGGTCTCTACAATGTAGCTGCCACAAGCAGTAATACGAAAAAGAAACAAAGCCCATTTGGGGTGTTTCTCGCCACTCAGCCCAAACCATGATGTGCTGATTTCCTATGCAGATTCAAAGGTCTGTTTTCATAAACGGTTGGTTCATTCCTCTGGAGACGGGCCTTCCCAACATGACAACACGCAGTCTACTTTTTAAAGCAAAACGAGTTGTTTGCAAGAAGCATCAGGAAAACATCTGCCTCTAACTCTCATGGGCTGTGCAGACAAACCTGAAGCATAATTTGGACCCTAACAAAAGGTAGGCTTGGAGATGTCAATCAATTAATTCTATTGAAAAGCATCGCGTAGCCTATTGAGTGAGAAGAAGGGCAAGAGTTGTAAACATTCAGGTAAATAGATAATCCATTAAGACAACAATCTACATTGTGGCAAATGCCACCCCACTCTTGTTAGCCCTTATTTTCTGGTCTTTGGATTCCCCTGCCCTCCTACCAGAGGACCTCTCTGTCCTCCTCTCCCGATCTTTGTCCTCCTATTCATGGCTCAGTGAACACAAAGCAGGAAAGCAGTGCTTACCCAGTGTTCCATTCTGGACAAGTTCTTCCTCTATAGTAAAAAGGCGGTTGTATTTAGTCACCCGTTCGCCTCGAGAAAGACCTCCCAACTTGACAAACCGCACTCCCAGTCCGACAGCCTGAGAAGAAGAATTTCTTAAGAATGGAGGGGTCTGATTTTTGTTAAACTACATACAGTGCTTTAGAGAGAGAGAGGAGACTGTCATGGTGATGTGTGTTTCTGTTTTAATATAAATTAGTTGTGTTTTATTCTTTGCATAAATAAAGTAACCTGCCCACAAGCTGGGTGTCAGAAGGATAAGAGGTGCCATAACTGCATTAGATGCTTTACACGTCACATGAGCAGCTGATGACCTCTGACAGGCTGGCCTTCCTTGCTTCATTTTAGGACATAAAACTGGGCCTGTCATCTGCCCTGGACTTCAAATCTTTCTGCTCTGCCAAAGTCCAAAGATTGGCTTTCTATTTCATAAAAGGTTGCATGACTCTACCAAAGACTGCTTTCCCCTGAAATACCAATTCATGATAAAAGCAGTGTTTTGGCAATTCTGCAATTGACCAGCTTTCAGCACTTACCAAATCCACTAGGCTATCATCAGACGACTCTCCCTCCATGCTTCCAAAGACAGCAATGTGCTTCTTACCTGTCAGCAAGGAACCGACTTAGTTTTACACAGTATGGGAACGGTGTGCCCAGAGATTTTCAGACTTCTTTATAAGTATCTATTATTTAACTACCTAAGAATTCTAACCCAAACATTTGTACTTGGATTGCTCTGCTGTTCTTTCTTTATGCCTCTTTCTACACAATACCATGTTTCACCATGTTTTATCAAATGTAAGGTACACTAAGAGTTCGGGTGGGCTTGAACCACCGACCTTGCGGTTCAAACTGACCTTGCAGTCCAGTGCATTGTCCTGCAGCACCACACCAGGGCTCCATAATGTAGCATTTTCTTCTAAGGAATCTGACACACTGACTATTATTCGATCTAACAAGCAGTACTAATAGTATGTAATCAAGCATTTGAGGATCACAGAAGCATTATGGAATTTGTCAAAATCTACATAGTGCAAACCAAATTTCTCGTTAACAGTGGTGGTGATGTGCCATGGAGTCGGTTCCAACTCATAGTGACCCTGTACAGGGTTTCTGAGGCTGTAAATCTTTACAGGAGCAGAAAGCCTCATCTTTCTCCTGCAAAACAGCTGGTAGTTTGAAACTGCTGACCTTGAGGTTAGCAGCCCAGCCTGTAACCACTGTACTATATAGTATCTGTTTCTGAGGCAGGAGAGACAGGAAGGAATGAGAGGCCCGGGGGGTGGGGTGGGGGGCATGGGGTGACAGCCTACAGGCCAGCCCTCCCCAGGCCCCTTCAACATTGGGCATTTCAGTCCATCGTCTGGCACCAACTCAGGCCCTCACCTGCCAGTTTGCTTCCATTCTACTCCAGGTCTATTCCTGAGGTCTATTCCTTCTATTTCTGTTCCAGGCACTGGCAGAGGGAATTCATCGAAGTTTACAGTCTAGTCAGGGAGACCCAACATTAAATAAAGGTACAAGTAATCATGGTTGGTACCATAAAGAGAAAGTATGGGATGTTAAGAGAACCATTCAGAATACAACCTGTTCAGGGTAGGGAAGTCAGAAAAAATATATGAGGGGGCTTCAAAAGGTTCACGGGAAAATGGCATTACCCTTTCCATTTTTTATGAACTTTTTGAAGCTCCTTTGTATTTGAAGTTATTTCATTTAAGCCAAGACCTGAAAGGTAAGTGTGCTGTTGTTAAGACCTGTGGAGTCGGTTTTGACTTACACCGAGTGGCTCTGTGTAAGGTTTCTGAGGGGCGTCTGGTGGGGTTGGACTGTCAGTGTTTGCCTCACCAGGACTCCAAGGGTAAGTACGTTAAGTGTCGTTGAGTCATTTCCGACTTGTGGCGGTGGTGGTGTTAGGTGCTATCAAGTCAGTTCCCAGTCATAGCCACCCTAGGAGCAGCTGGTGGGTTTGAGCCACCAACCTTGTGGTTTACAGTCGAGTGCTTATCCTACAGCACCACACTAGGAGTCATAGCAACTCACAGTGACCCTGTATATCATTTCTGAGGCTTTAAATCTTAGTGGGAATAGAAAGCCTCTGTTCAGAGCAGCGGGCAGGCTCGAACCACAAACCTTGTGGTTCACAGTCCAGTGCTTATCATATGGAGCCACTATACTCCTAAGGATAAGTATGTTAAAGTACCATGGAGTTGGTTACAACTCATAGTGACTCTGTATAGGTTTTCCAGGAGCAGCTGGTGGGTTTAAATTGGCAACCTTGTGGTTTGACATCCAGTGCTGACCCTACAACACCAAGGATAAGGATATTGTTGTTGTTAAGTGTTGTCAAGTCAGTTCTGACTCATAGTGACCCTGTATAGGGTTTCCAAGGAGCATCTGGTGGGTTTGAACTGCTGACCTTGTGGTTCAAACAAACTTGTGGTCCAGTGCTTATCCTACAGCGCCACACCAGGAGTGAGCAATCAGGACTACATAAAGTAGGGGTGGGGAACCTTTTTTTCTGTCAAAATTTATAACATTTGTTTGTGGGTCATCCAAAACGATCAACTAAAAAAATTACTCTGCCACATTTGGTTAAACATTTAATTAACGCACCCCTAAATGTGGAACCAAGGAGAATACTGAAAGTGCCATGGACTGCCAAAAGAACCAATAAATCTGTTTTGGAAGAAGTGCAGCCAGAGTGCTCCTTGGAGGCCAGGATGGCTAAGCTTCGTCTCTCCTACTTTGGACACATTGTCCGGAGAGAACAGTCGCTGGAGAAGGATGTCATGCTGGGTAAGGTGGATGGTCAGAGAAAAAGAGGAAGACCCCTAAGGAGATGGATCAGTCAGGTGGCATCATTGATGGACTCAGGTGTGGCGGCGGTAGTGAGTTTGGCCCAGGATCGGACATTGTTTCGTTCTGCTGTGCATGGGGTCGCTATGAGTTGGTTCCGACTCGATGGCACCTGACAACAACAACAACAACAAATGTGATGGCAGAGTCCTGGGGTGGCGCTGGGGCTAAGGCATCAGACTGCAAAGTTGTTTGAACTGCAAGGTCAGTGGTTCAAGCTCACCAGGTGCTCCTTGGAAACCCAATACAGGGTCGCTATGGGTCGGAACCAACTCGACGGCACTTAACAACAACAAATGTGATGGCACTGCAGGATAATACAGTAGCCTGCAAAGTCAGTTTGAACCGCAAGGTTTGCGGTTCAAACCCACCCGCCGCTCCTAGGAAACCCTCTACAGGGTTGCTATGGGTCAGAACCAACTCGACGGCACTTAACAACAAATGTGAAGGCTGGAACTGTGGTTGCCTTGGCAGGGCCAGACCAAGTGGACATTCCCCCCTGACATAAAGGTTCTCTCCTGTGGCATCCCAGCTGCAGTGGAGTTTGGCTTTTCAGTTGTCATGTCACAATTCCCAGTACCTAGCATTCTGCTCCTGAATTCCAGGTTGCTGGCAAAGGTCCTGCTTTCAGCCATGTCCCTGATGCTGTGTTGCCCTGCTAACTTGCCTGCCTGCTTGCTTCCCACTCCTGCCTATTATAGCGAGCCTACTCCCAACCCCAGTCTCTGTTGCTTCTGCCTGGCTCTTCTGACCCTGTTTGTGTAACTGCTGAAGCAGATTGGAGATCCAGTTACAAATACTGGTCATTCTAGGCTTCTTCCAGTCAACTGCAAATTAACATGGTTCACTGGTGTCGTCAGTAGATTACAACTACCTAAGCTTATTTTCCTGGAGTGGTGCTGTGGGTTAATGCGCTACACTGCAAAGTAGGTTTAAACCACAAGGTTAGTGGTTCAAGCTCACCAGCCACTCCTCGGATTCTTTCATCTGATTCTTTCATTGACTTTGACATCTTGTCCTCATTGAACCACCTTCATTCAGCCCACTGTGAGTCTTTCAAGTCCATACTTTTACTCACTGTCAATGAGGTTGGTTACTTGTACCAAGTCCGACATCGTTGTGTGATTTGTGTGTTTTATGATCAGCCCACTGGCTCTGGGGGTGCTGATATTCCCATCCTCTAGAAGCTTAGGGATGCTTCTGGATGCAGCTCCTGCGATGATGTAACACCTGGAACCAAGAGCATTGTAGATGCTGTCCCACTGTTCAGAGTCCTGGGTAGATATTTACGAATTGATCATTACACTGGCTTCAACATAACCTCAAAACAACAGGAATTATATCACACATGATCAAAATTGTACAATTTTCCTATGAGACACACAGTTCTCTCCACCCCCACCACCCCTCTATTTATTTTTCATCTGTGGCTGAATGCCACCAGCTGCCACAGGAATACAGACAGAAACTTTCAATGGTTTGGATTTGAGCTTAAAAGGTCTAGTGAATGAAATGTTCATAGACTTAAATGCTATTCCCAACATCGATTCTGGGGTTGTTTACACAGGCTCTCCCCTTTCACTGTATTATCCCTAATGGTTCTACAGACTGCTTGGTTAGAAGAATTTTTGTTATTTCTGGAAAACAGACAACTGGAAGAAAGGAGCCTGCAAAGGCTCTAGGCCTTTTTTCTCAACGCCCTAGTTTGTATTGGTGAGACCACCACCTTAAATGCTTATTATTCAAAAGGGAAATACTATACAAAGCCATCCCAGCCATTCGACCAGAGTTCAGCTTCTTCCATTAAAAAAACTGTGTCCTGGAATGTTCTAGAAGCTGCAGTCAGAGCCTCAGGACACTCTTGTCCAAGGGCAGGTCTGGTCAAGGTGACAGACTGAAGTAAGTCAGTGTTCTTATGGGGCTGAAGTCTGGCATGGGCTGGGAAAGGAAAGACATGCAGGCTGGGACCCCAAGTGACCCATTACTCCTATTGTCCCCAGCATTTAAACAGTTATCTCCAAGAGGGTAAAGTGCTCAAATTCCTAAAACCAGCACTTTTGAGCAGTGTTATGCATTTAAGTAGTGTTATCAGTTGAACTGTGTCTTCCAAAATAAATGTTCGCGTCCTAACTCCATTCCTGTGGATGCAATTTTATTTGGAAATGGGGTTTTCTATGTTAGGCTAATGAGGCTGTATCAGAGTAGATGGTACTAAACCTGTTCACTTCTAAGTTATAACAAGAACAGGTTAAACACAGAAGCAAGGGTGCCCTGGACAAGACAGACGCCACATGAGGGTCCTCTACAAGCCAAAGAACCAAGAAACGTGGGGCTAGTGACAGGGAATCAACATGACCAAGACCCTGCTTTAGACTCCTAGCCTCCAGGACTGTGAGAAAACAAATGTCTGCTCTGTAAAGCAACCCTCTTGTGGTATCTGTGTCCCAGCAGCACCGGGAATCTAAGAAAGAGAAGTTCGGAGGAGGAGACCTGGGTGATCTTTTGTGCCATATAAATGTCCCCAGCAAAATGCATTTGTTTGAAGAGATCAGAAAGCCTCAACATCTCAAACTCTGACAAGGCTTTGATACTTCTATGCATATGTGTGTTGTTGTTGTTGTTGTTAAGTAATGCATTTGTTTGAAGAGATCAGAAAGCCTCAACATCTCAAACTCTGACAAGGCTTTGATACTTCTATGCATATGTAGTAACTGAATTTTGATAAAAGTATTAGCCTAGTACAAGGCCTGTTTCCATGAGTAGTGAAAATGCTGTATGTTATGAGGGACAGAGGAAGACCCCCAACAAGATGGATTGGCCAAGTGGCAGCATCGATGGACTCAAGCGTGGCAACAATAGTGTGGTTGGCCCAGGATCGGGCAGTGTTTCGTTCTGCTGTGCATAAGGTTGCTATGGGTCGATACCAACTGGATGACACCTCACAACAGCAACAACCTATTGAAGCACCAACTAGCGCAGCCGGCCCTGCTTCTATCCGTTAGGTTACCTATAATATCCAGGTCCTCCTAACATGCTTGGGAAAGGCTTGCTTCATTCTGCACATAGACACACTCCCATGTAATTGTGTCTCTGCTATTCATTTACTTAGTAAGTGCCTTCTACTCATAAATGCTGAAATAAAGTGACTCAGGCCCAACCCAAGTTACAATACATTTTGAATGACAGAGGCCTACAAGAATGAGACTGCATTGTTCTGTGTTTTGTTATAAAATCCAAGGTGAGTTCCGGCTTACCTCTTTCCTGAAGGGATCAATTAAGGCAATAATTGAAGGGTATTTGTTGATCAGATCCACGTACAAGTCTACCATCTCAGAAGCACTTTTCAGTGTCCCCACCATCACTTCATACTTCCCCTTACTCTGGTAGGTGAAAGGAAAATGGTGAAGTCAAGGATATATATACCACGAATTCCTCAAATGTTAAAGATGCGATTCAAGTTCAGACTATCACGAGAACCCGTAAGCAGACTTTTTCTTCTTGAGGTTGCATTCGCTTGAGAAATCTCTCTGCATTTTGCTTTCAATATCTGCTGAATATTAACCTGGGGGAATCAAGTCACCACTTAGAGGGAAACAGCTCCTCTTAAGTCAGATTTTCATTCCTCTTGATACCTATAGAGAGCTCTTCCCACTGACTTCAGATGAAGTCTTCTGTGCAAACAGCCAGCGGGCACAGAGTGGGCGGCAAACAATGTTTCTGACCTGGTGCCAGACACCCAGTTGCCTAGGTAGATGGACAATAACATAAATTCATAAAACAACAAACCGAACAGCAGTGTGCACCTGCCCACTTACTAGAATGCACCGTTTTCCACCTGGCAGTGAGCAAGTAACTTGTTTTCTCTGTGGTAAATAAATATGAAACCAGATCAAGGCTTTTGAAATACTAAAACAAATATGAAATGTAGAGTGACTTATGTGATGGTATTTCCTTCTCAGCAGGCAACTTCTAGCACAAACAATATTGTCTTGAAAGGGGAATTTGATGTAATCCATTCATTGATGCCTCAAAAGGCCCCAGGTAGTTGAATATAGAAATAAATGTGGTTGAAGGGTCTAATGTAGTTTCTCTGTTAAGTAAAGAGCCTGTATTTCTAAGTCTGTGTTTAAGGATGATGCCTAGGACTTGTAGGTACTAGGAGGCAGGTGGGAGGAAACAGAGGGGCTGTTTGGTTTGCTAACGTCTTGCTGTTGATGATGATAAAATGGACTTCATTGGAATTAGGCTTTCCACAAAGTCTGTAATTGAAGGGAGTTTACATTTTTTTTTCACATTAAGAAGAAATGAGAATTTTCAGTTTCCATAATGCAAAGTTTAAAAGCCTTATCTTGTCAGTGAGGAAATGTTCATGTCTTTGAACTGACATTATTATAAGAATTATTGGATATCAAGTTAATATATTTAACTGAATATGAACAATAAATAGCTATTCTAGCTAGCACTAGAAGTCAGTATCTTCCGAGTTCTTGGTATACGTTGTGGATGAAAACATGCAATTATTTTTCTTAATGGTATGCCTAGGAACCAATCATTATGTGAAGAAAAGGAAATTACTTTAAACATGCCTTTATGTACTTAGTTTCTTTAGGGAAGTAAAGGAACTATTAGAAGTCAGTTGAAACTTAGGATTCTTATATATTGTTCAAAATTTCCTTTGTCGTTAAAGAATCACACACTGTAGTGTGATCCTATTTGGCTACAGTCCCCTGAATTTGACATTGATTACCAAGTCACCATAAATGTACATCAGTATGCTGGACATATGTGTATGTAAAATGGAACTTTTGTGTATGTTGTTGTTGCTGTTAAGTGCCGTCGAGTCGGTTCTGACCCATAGTGACCCTGAACAGGGTTTCCGAGGCTGTAAATCTTTACAGGAGCAGAAAGTCTCACCTTTCTCCTGTGGAGCAGCTGGTAGTTTCGAACTGCTAGCCTTGCGGTTCACAGCCCGATTCGTAACCACGACACTATGAGACATGTATAAATGGGGCTGTATACATAAGACAGAAAGTTCTAATAGCTTTTCTGACACACCAATTTGCCAAGTGTAAAGGTTAAAGCTGGTCTCTTGTTATCATTTTCTCCACATGGTGTGGTTCCCGTGGTGAAGCTCCTAACGCAGTCTGTGAATACCACTTTGAAGTGTTTAATCAGATTAAAACATTTTCTCCCTGAGTGTCAGTAACTTGGAAATAGTTTGTGTCTACACAGCATAAACTTTGAGAACCACATATCTAAAGGAGTCTACTAAGTCACAGTGACAACTGATCCGATCCACATTTCGTACTTGACAGATGTAGTATGAGGGGGCTTCAAAAAGCTCATGGAAAATGGAATGAAAAGAAAATGGAATTTTTCCATGAACTTTTTGATGCCCCCTCGTACTTGCCAACCAAACAGTTGTACTCAGGAGACAAGACCAGTTTGGTAAATTATTATTTTTTAGTAGTTTTTGTGGTCACAATGTTACCATCTCATTGTACTCATTTTTAATTATAGAATTTTCGTATGTAATTTTTATTAGGACTTGAAATTCAGTGACTTGAAATGCACTGGACTGCAAAGTCGGCTTGAAGCACAAGGTCGGTGGTTCAAGCTCACCAGCCGCTCTTCGGAAACCCTATACAGGGTTGCTATGGGTTGGAACAAACTCATAACAATTTTTACTAAGAAATTATGTTTTTAATTTTTTTTAATTATCTGGTTATCCTTTAGTCAGTGGTTAATTTGGCTATCTCAGCTCCGTATTTGGAGCATGATGGTGCTATACAGGTAAGCATCAGACTACAAACCTAAAAGTCCAGCCTACCAGCCACTCAGAAGGAGAAAGATGGAACTTTCTACTCCCTTGAAGATTCAAAGCCTCGGCAATCCTATACAGGATCACAATGAGTCAGAACCGACTCGATGGCACTTAAGAACAACAAAAACTGTATTTGGCCTCCTCACACAACAGTAATAAAAAAGAAAGAAAGAAAGAACCTGCCTGGAAAAAGTTCAGATCAATATTTCTTTTGAGTGCTGATTTTTTAAAAGAAACGTTTCAAAGAGTTAAAGTTCTACAGTGAACACTTACGTAGTCCATCAACTCATGAGCAGCACAGTTGATAGCGAGATGTAGGTTTGTTCCCAGTTCCAGCCCCAGGTTGGTGCAGATGCCTTGGATGAAGAGGACAGGCTGCTCTATGGTGTCAAAGTTAATGGTTAAACAGCCAAGATGGGACATCTTACCAGTGATCTGCTGTTGCAAGATCAAAAGAAAAAGATGCATGTAAATACACATAGCACATTAGGGTTCTTGGAGCATTTGGCAGATTTTATACTGAGAAAATGGTCCTCCAGAGATCAAAATTGGCTCCCGGACATCTGATTCCTCTGTGGAAACTGGGAGTGATACTGTTATTCACGTCTGGCCAGCGAGCATGCTTGTCTCTCATCACTATGCCTACATTGCCTTTCTTAGCTCTGCCACTGGCCGTGGGTTTGGTAGATATGGCGGCTCTCCCTAGACAACCATCCTCTGTCCCTAACTCAGTCTGTCCTCTTCCTCCATCCCCTTCCCCAAATTTGTTCTTCCCTATGCTCTGTTTTCCTTTTGAAGGACATGACTATTAAAACTTAAAATGCAACCTTCTTTCTGGAAAGGGGGGATTTTTTAAAAGGATAAAGATTTCTTCTGTTCAAAGCTGAAGTGATGTGCATGGATTCGGTGAAAGACGATTTGGGGACCCAAAGGACCCCCAGGAAAGGCAGCCATATGCCTCTACTGCAAGCTCAGCTTCGCTGTTCCCTGACCAGCCATTGTCACTACGCTGCAGCAATGTCAGTGATGCTGAAGGATTCTGGGTATGTTTCTCTGTGTGTGTGAAACTCAAGAGTAAACAGGAACCCAGGGATACATACCCCATTTTTACTGGGGACAACCTTGTTGTTGTTAAGTGCCGTTGAGTCGGCTCCAACCCATAGCGACCCTGTAGAGGGTTTCTGAGGAGCAGCTGGTGTGCTTGAACTGCCAACCTTGCAGTTCAAACGCCTTTGCAGTCTGGTGTATTAACCCACAGCGCCACACCAGGACTCCTTTCTGACAACCTTGTTGTTGTTCTTATGTACCGTTGAGTCGGTTCCGACCCATACCGACCCTGTATTGGGTTTCCAAGGAGTGACTGGTGAGCTTGAACCACCAACCTTGTAGTTCAAATGGCTATGCAGTCTGGGAAGAAAACCTAGAATGTTTTCTTCAGCAAACAGAGGAATAGTTGGGGAAGTGTCTGTGTATCAACTGAGGCAGTGTATTATGCACTTTAACAGCAACAACCACAAACCATGGAAACATCATTTCTCACTGTGACTAAATGTCAGGTACTATTCCAAGTGCATAAGTAAATGCCTTGACTCCTTACAGCAACCTTATGAAGCAGGCACTCTGATGATGCCCATGTAACGGAGAGGTAAGTAAGTTGGAGCAGATTTCAGTCCCACCACTCTAGCAGCATTGCCCTCAAGAATCTACCATCTAATCTGTTTCTAAAAGAAAAAGTAAAGCTGATGGGGGGTGGGGGTGGCAGTCTTGGTCTAAGTTTCTGGGAGAAACCTGGGGGGAGGACAGAGAGCGGTGCTGAGACTCGGTTTCTTATTCACCATCCCCTGCTTTTCTTGCAAAATCAAGTGTTCTCATCCCAACATACACAATAAGTGTTTCACTCGTTTTTTTTTCTTTCTCTTCTCTTCTCCCAGTTTTGAGGAAGACCATCGCTTAAAAACAATCTTTACCAGCTCCTTTCTCTTGCTGATGGCGTAAACAGACTGGTGTCCCTGCTGCCAGGTTAGGGCTGTGGCTGCAGTCTTCAGAGAGCAAAGGCTGCAGGTGTGCACAACTTTCCCCCATCCGCATCACCTGCAGGGTTCTTATCGGCCGTCCTCACAGTTTACATTGTTGAGAATGTAAGCATATAGTAGGTGGGCAGGCGAGGCTGCAGAGCACCTAAGAGCAACCATGGCCGACTCACTCAGTCTCCTGACACTCTACTATCTGCCTGACTCCTGGCACAAGCTGAATCCTGGTATTTGGTCATCTGAGATGACGTTTTGGAGACCACACTGCAGGTCATGTTTTTGTGCCTTTTCTTTCTTTCTCTGTTGTTATATGCCACGGAGTCAGTTCCGACTCATAGCAGCTGGTGGGTTTGAACTGCCTACCTTGCGGTTAGCAGATCTGTGCTGACCCTACAGAGCCACACCAGGGCTCTTTCTCTAGTAGTAGTAAAATTAAGATCTAAAGTATCCTATCAGCCGTTCAGTCAGTTATCAGGGAAACTCAACTTCCCAAACACCTGTCTTCAAACTTAATTCTCTTACTAACAGTGATTCTCCCAGCCCTCCGAAGCAGCCTGTTGAGGAGAGGCGGGGTCAGAGTCAGATTCCAGCTCTGGGGTTGTCTTACTTCTTGCTTAGCGCTCTTGAACAGTGTCACCATATAACTTCCATTTGCATAAACTTTGTCTCAGAGCAAAAAGGACTGGGAGGGCAACAAGGGTAGGGAATGTCATGTCACCTGGAAGGGTGACAAGCATATATATAGAGATATACTTACTTGACCCCTTTTGCCTCCATTATGCCCCTTTTTGGTCTCTGGTTTTGGAGGGGGTGGCTGTAACAGAAGAGAAAATAAGGCACATGACTAGGATCTCTGGCTGCTTTAGAAATTCTGACCTGTCCACTGTGGTCACACATTCACATGCGCGCACACACACAGGAATGAGGTCACCCAGTTCCTAATTTTATAAGCTTCAAATTACTTCTCAAATTCAAGCACAGCTTTCCTTCTGCCCCTATATATATATATATATATATATAAGGCTGTGCAATTCCATAATCTTTTCATTCCATTTTCCACAAACTGTCTGATGCTTCCGCTATATATTCCCGTGCCTTTCTACTCATATAAAACTAAAAACACAAAAAAATCAACCTGTGGCCATTGAGTAGATTTCACTTCATTGTGGTCCTATAATAAGACAGACTGCTCCATAGGGTTTCCAGGCTGCTGTCTTTATGGAAGCAGACTGCCACATCTTTCTCCCGCAGATCAGCTGGTGGGTCTGAACTGCCGACTTTTTGGTCAGCAGCCAAGCATTTAACAACTGTACTTTCAGGGTTCCTTTCTTCTCCTGTAACTAGAGTAATTCTTCTGCATGGAGTTCTGAGCTCTCACTGTAGGCAGTAGCCAATTAGGCACGGAAACTACAAGTTTCCCTCCCTACAAGAAGGAAGTATATAACTGTGGGGTTTGCTTTGTAGACCAAGCACATGCTTTAAATATCTTCAGGGCACAACACTTTTTCCAGCTAGGTGGATTAGACATTTGGAAGTAGCCAAAGGTCAGTAAGTCTGGTGAGTCCGGCAGATGTGGTGCCATTGAGGCGAAAAGCAAAGGTAATTCCCAAAGAGGAGTTCCCATGGTGTTTAGGGTTGTGACAGCAAACTATTAGGAAGCATTTTGTCATCTCTGGGATGCACTTCAGTGCCCTGCATTTCCTGGCTCTATAATCTGAGGCTGGTTTGTTAAGAGTCAATATGGTTCAACTTCCGGGACAAGATGTCAGTGCAGGTAGATACACTGAGCTGACCATCTGCAACAAAGGCATGGGAAACTGAGTGAAAGAGATGCAGAGGGTGGTTCAGGTATCCTAAGCATCAGAGGACAGGACAGAGGTGGACTGAGTACTGGCCGGAGGAGGACACAGAACAGAACCTGGTGGACTGTAGGCTGACCTGGAGTGGTACAACCATCTTGAGTTTGCAAAGCAGCTCGGGGCATTACTGGAGGTTGGTAACAAGGGGATGCAGTTCTCCCTAGATCCTATAACCTCCTGATGATTGATTTATGTGGGACACTATCAAGAGGAATAACTTTCATGTGACTGGAATTCCAGAACATGAAGAAACCACAACAAAAAAACCACACACAAAATCTTGTCCAAGAAATGTTGGAGGAAAACTTCCCTAACATTATGAAGGAGGAGAGGTTGGCCGCTCAGGAAGTTGAGTGAACGCCAAACAGGCTAGACCTCAAAAGAAAAACATGGAGACATATTATAATCAAACTTTTCAAAACCAAAGACAAGGGAAGAATCCTCAGGAAAAATGGAAAGTTACCTACAAAGAAGAACTAAAAAGATTAAGCTTTGATTTCTCAGCAGAAACTGTGCAGACAAGAAGACAATGGAATGACATATATAAAACAAAGAAAAAAAAATTGCCAACCACACTGAAGAAGACTGTTGGGCTGTGTTGCTAGGACATTTCTCAGGTCTTCCCAACCAGCTTTCAAACTGCCCACAGTGTATTTTGTGACACCTAGCAGAGAGCCATGCAACAGCATTAAATAACTGGGGAAAACAATCCGCAACATTTCTTCTCTCTAACGTTTGTAAGGTATAACTCTTTTACAGTGGTGAGGAGCCAAAGCCTTCAGCCTTTATAGTCAGACAAGATGCAATTTGTTTCCAATGACTTTCTTAGATGAGGTGGATTTAAAAATAGCTAAAAACCCAAACAAACAAATGTAACCTTTCATTAGCAAGAATTAGTCATCTCAAGGGTTCCTGGGGATAGACAATTATGCTAAAATAAATTGGGCATAGAGTAATTTGCTTATCTATGCCATCAGCCAAATGCTATTTTCAGGAGCAATCATTTTATTGTTAAAAGAAAGCCAGGAAATTGCAGTAACTCCTGGTTCCAGCCTTAGCATCTCTCACTGTGAAAAGGAAAACCATGCCTTTGGCTAAAACTTTCTACAGAAATATTTTAGGTTGACTTCTGCATGAAAAAATATATCATTTCTTTAGCATTTTTTCCCCTCAAAAGGAATTTGAGATTTAATAAAGGATTAAGTTAAAGTTGGGAACAATCTGGTATCAGTCTAACCACCAGGTTAGACTGATTAGTGTTCTATCAGTAGACACCAGTGCCTACTGGTGGGGCTAAGTCACTGATTAGTGTTCTATCAGTAGACACCAGTGCCTACTGGTGGGGCTAAGTCAGGGTCTTTCCATACATCGCTTCTAGTCCTTCCAAGGGAAGTGTCACTAGTGTACAGAAGGGGAAAACAAAGTGCAGGCCGGTTATATAAGATGTTCACAGTGGTGGCTCGTAAACACTGAGCCAAAAATGAAACCCAGATCTCCTTAACTTCTAAAGACCGCTATGCTTCATGTTGTTAGCAACTAAAAATTCTTCACACTGATGGAGTAGTGGCGATTGTTTAGGCCTAAATGCTTTGTTGTTTTTAATTCAAACAAGAATGAGCTAGTAAGAGCTATTACTACAGACCCCACTGCAGCTCTCAAATAAGTAAAACCACGTGAAAAGCCAAAAGGAATATGATCCTTGCTCTACACTATTCATATAAATGCCAAATGAATTTGAAATACAAATATATTTTTTAAATCATAAAAGTGTTACAAGGAAATGTACCCTATGATTTGGGGGTAAATTAGCAGATGATTAAGGTTATGGACTCTGAGACTAGACTTCCTGGGTTTCCATCCCAGCCTTTATAAAGTGAGGATATTAACAATATCTATCTATAAAGTATGCATAGTAGTTAACGAATCTGGCTGTTAACCTCAAGGTTGGCAGTTTGAAACTACCAGCTATTCTGTGGGAGAAAGATGAGGGTTTCTGCTCCTGTAAAGATATGCAGCTTTGGAAACCCTGTGCAGGGTCACTATGAGTTGGAATCGACTCCACAGTACTTAACAACAACATCTATAGAGTTGGAGTACTGATGTGGTGTTGCAGGTTAATGGGCTAGACTGTAAAGTTGGTTTGAACTGCAAGGTTGGTGATTCAAGCTCACCAGCCACTCCTTGGAAACTCTACACAAGTTTTCTATGGATCAGAACCAACTTGATGGCACTTAACAACAACAACTTACAGTTATGGTAAAGATTGAAGGAGTTAAAATATTAAAGTATTTAAAATGGTGCTTAGTAAGTATCTGTCATTTACAGTATTATAAGAAGAGGGGGTGCCATAGTAAACCAGTAACAAAAAGTAAAAGCCTTTAAACACAGTTTCTCAACCTTGGCACCACTGACATTTTGTACTGTAAAATTCTTTGTTGCAGGGGGCTGCCCTGTATATTGTAGGATATCTAGCAATACCCCCAGCCTCTACCCACCTCATGCCAGTAGAAACCCTCGATCTAAGTTGTGATAGCCAAAAATATCTCCAGATATTGCCAACTGTCCCCTGGGACAAAATCACCCCTGCCTTAAAAGATCACATTGACAAATTCTACTACATCAAAATTTGAAGGAAAAAAAAAAGCATGGTACATTAAATAAAAGTTAAAAGGCAAACAACATGACCGATGAAAATATGTATAGCATATTAAAAAGGATTATATCCCTTATTATATAAAGAATTCGTAACAATAAAAGATAAAGCATCAATAAAATGGGCAAAGAAGTAAGCAAGTTGCGGGATGACTACTGCAGAATAATGTCATTTGTGTATTACTGTAGACAAAACATACTGCTTTGTATTTATTTGTTCCCGCGTACATAAAAACAAGGAGCGAGGCAGCAGGGGGACACACTCTGTCCGTTTTTAGCAGTGGTCCTCTCTACAGGAAGGGTGAGATTGAGAGTTGGGGTAGGTAGAGTGAGGAGGAGAGAGAGTTCGGTCAGCATATATGAATTTTCATGAGAACATTCAAGAGTTTGGATGTAGCTGAAAATCACTAATCAAATATCAGGAAAGCCCTAATATTTTACAGTACATGTCCTCTCATAACAAACAGTCTGTATGGCTCCCTGTTCTGAACACATTGTATATGCTGCCCCTGCTCTAACCACATCATATGCATTGGACTCATTTACTCTAAAGTCACCCTAAGAGATGACTACATACGGTCCCCATTTTATAGATGAGGAACCCAAGGTGAACCAGTTTTGAAATTAGCCAAAGGTCACACAGCCAGGGAGTGTGAAAACAGAGTGAAGTCAGGGTTAACTTGTCCAAGTCTGATCCTCTGAAGGGTGCTCATGCAAGGAAGGAGCTGGCCTCCTAAAAAGCTCCATGGAACTGGCTCCATGTTCAAGCACCGTGCTTGGACCCTCAGACACCCTGCTTAGCGCTCTATGGGAGGGGCTGGAGCTGCTCAGCTGCAGTTACTGACTCTGTGCTGGCAAGATGGCGCTGGGGCCAATGTTCCTCATGCCAGACTTCTGCCCTATCCTGGCCTCCCTTCTACAGTGACTTCTAATCCTGTGGCATAAAAGACTTGAGCAAGATGCAGTGTAAGAAATGTTACTTACAAAGGCAAGCAAATCAGATTAAGCTCTGACTATTCAGCAGAAACCATGCAGGTAAGAAGGCAATGAGGAGACATATGCAAAATCCTAAAAGAAAAAAAACTGCCAACCAAGAATTGTCTATCCAGCAAAACTGTCAGTCAAATACAATGGTGTAATCAAAACATTCCAGGATAAAAAGAAGCTAAGAGATTTTGTGAAAGCCAATCCAGCACTTCAAAACATCCTAAAGGGAGTTCTTTGGACTGGAAACCATTAAGAACAGACAACAAGCAGAGATTGACAGGCATGGCAACACCACCTGAAACTCAGATGACGGAAAGCAGAGTCCAGAACAGAACAAAATTACAACAATGAACTCAGAGGAGCTAGGAGGTCAACCGAAGATCACAATAATATCAATGTCAAATAAGGGGAAAATGTAGGAATAGAGATCCAGGTGGTGAGGAGGTCAGGTAGATTATAGGATACAAAAGATTGTCTTAAATGGAGGGAAAAGTTAACAGACTATAAGGTAACCCCAAAGAAAGTTAATACTTCACAACTTACCATGAAAATGAACTTCTAAGCAGAACAAGCAAACATGAAAACTAAGAAGACAACGAAAAGAAATAGCACAAAAACCACAAACTCAGCACAAGAAGGCATGCAGAACAAAGGAACCAACAGCACTACCAAAAATTACAAATAATTCATATAGTAGCATAGTGATTACCAATCGGGCTGCAAATTGCAAGGTCAGCAGTTCGAAACTACCAGCTGCTCCATGGGAGAAAGACGAGGCTTTCTGTTCCCATAAAGATTTACAGCCTTGGAAACCCTGTACAGGGTCGCTATGAGTCAGAATCGACTCCATTGCACATAACCACCACCACCAACAACCATCCATAATTATACTGAATGTCAATGGACTGAATGCACCAATGAAGAGACAGTGAGTGGCAGAATGGATAAGAAGGCAAGACCCTTCAATATGCTGCCTGCAAGAGACACACAAAGACGAAAACAGACTAAAAGTTGAAGGATGGAAAAAAATATACCAAGCTAACTGCAACAATGAACAAGCAGGAGTGGCAATACTAGTCTCCAATAAAGTAAACTTTAAGACAAAAACCAGCATAAGAGATAAAGAAGGCCACTATATAATGATCAAAGGATCAATTGAGCAAGATGACATAACTATAATTAAAATCTATGCTCCCAATGAAAGAGCACCAAGATACATGAAGCAAACCCTACTAGAATTGAAGAAAGAAATAGATAAATCTACAATTATAGTGGGAGAATTTAATGTGCCACTTTCGAAAAGGGACAGAACAACCAGAAAAAAACTCGACAAAGTTACAGAGGATCTAAACACACAATTAACCAACTTGACCTCATAGATGTGTACAGAGCATTCTATCCAATAATAGCACAATATACGTTCTTCTCCAGTGCACATGGAACATTCTCCAGAATTGACCATGTGTTAGGTCACAAAGCAAGCCTCCATAAATTTACAAACATCAAAATACTACAAAGCATCTTTTCAGAGCACAATGCTATAAAACTAGAAATCAACAATAAGAAGACCAAGGAAATAAACTCAAATACATGGAAACTGAATAATATCCTGCTGAAAAGAGACTGGGTAAAAGAAGAAATCAAACGTGAATTCACAAAGTTCCTGTAAACAAATGAGAATGAAACACAAAATACCAAAATCTTTGGGACACGGTGAAAGCGGTGCTGAGAGGACAATTTATTGCGATAAATGCGCACATCCAAAAAGTAAATAACTAAATTAACACATTAACACAGCATCTCCAACAATTAGAAACACACCAACAGAGGGAACCTACAGTCACCAAAAGAAAAGAAATAATAAAGATTAGGCAGAAATAAATGAGATGGAAAACAGAAAAACTATAGAAAGAATCAACAGAACAAGAAGCTGGTTCTTTGAAAGGATTAACAAAATTGACAAACCATTGGCAAACTTCATAACAGAAAAGGAGAGGACACAAATAACTCGCATTAGAAACCACATGGGTGATGTCACAACAGAACCAAACGAAATCAAAAGGATAATAACAGAATACTATTAAGGAGCTCTGGTAGCGTAGTGGTTACAAATCGGGCTGCAAACCGCAAGGTCAACAGTTCGAAACTACCAGCTGTTCCCTGGGAGAAAGATGAGACTTTCTGCTCCCGTAAAGATTTACAGCCTCGGAAAACCTGTATAGGGTCGCTATGAGTAGGAACTGACTCCACGACACACAACCACCGCCACCACCATGAAGAGTTGTACTCCAAAAAATTCGAAAACTTAGAAGAGATGGATACCTTTTTAGGAAAAACATGACCTACCTAAACTTACAGAGTGAAGTAGAAAACCTGAACAGACCCATAACAAAAGAAGAAATTGTTCAGGTCATCAAAAAACTCCCAACCAAAGATGTCTAGGCCCAAATGTCTTCATGGGTGAATTTTACCAAACATTCAGGGAAGAACTGTCACCAATTCCACTCAAATTATTCCTGAATATAGAAGAGAATGGAAAACTTCCTAATAGTTTTTATGAAGCAAGCATAACCCTCATACCAAAACCAGGGAAGGACATCACTAAGACAGAAAATTATAGACCAATATCCCTCATGAACACAGACACAAAAATTCTCAAGATGCAGTGTGAGATCCTGAACTGGATCCTGGAACAGAAAAAGGCCATTTTTTTTGTTGTTAAGTGCAGTCAACTCACTTCTGATTCATAGCAACTCTATAGGGTTTCTGAGGAGCAGGTGGTGGGTTAAATTATATTTAAAAGATAAAAAGCCCCACAGACAAGGATAGGGTCTCACTACAGGAGTCTGAGGCCCAGCCTTGCCATATTACTGTGCCCTGACCTAAGATAGACTGTGAAGAGACAGACCACTGGACACACACACCTGCCTCTCATCCTGCCTCCGAAACTTCTTCAAGAGGGATGCTCAGCCAATAGGCCTGGTTTAAAGCCCAACTCAGGGAGCCTAGCTCCTGAGTCTGTATCTACACCACTATACCAAACTGCCTCTCATATGCTAGGGGTCAAATCCTTTCTTTCTTTGCAATTTCTCAGGGGGGATCTTAGCATGGGCCAGTTCTCTCAGATTCGAAATGACATTTTTAAGTACCATTAGAAATTGGATCCGTAGTCAATGATGTGTAATCTTGGCTCATTCGGGAAAATCAAAGCAAATGAATTTATTTCCATAGTGATAAAAACAATATTGGCTTAATTCCATAAATCATCTACAGATTGGATACTGGAAGATGTGTTAGTGTGTATTGGTACTAGATACATACTCTCTACATACCGTTTCAATTGTTTTGTTAACATGTTTCTGAATTTCCAGAAGCATCTCCACACCCTATAAAGAGAAAAATCATGGTTTCCCACTGTTGTAATGTAGAAATTTCAAATGGGAAAGTTTACACCATGCACAACTATTCTGAGAATATATGAAGAGTCCCTGACAAGGCAGCCTGGTTAGTGGACAACATGGTCTACAAAATCAGAAAATGACAAGTTTGTCTTTAGTCCTTTATGTTGAAGATGAATGAGAGGCTCTTCTTCCTCAAGAGCCTCTCTTCATTGTCTTGCTGTTGTTTTTGTTGTTAGGTACCATCGAGTCAGTACCAACTCAGTGACCCTGTGCAAAACAGACACTTCATTGTCTGGAACTGACTTACTCAGTTGTTGGAGCATGTTACCTTCATTCTCTTGACCAATCTGGGAAAACACATGTCACTGGTCTCCAAGAGAATCTGGAGATGAAATGACTGAACCAGTATAAATCCATTACCACTAAAAAAGTTGCCAAGTGCATTCCAGTAATGGTGAGGTTGCCAAACCAAGACAGATACAGAATGGCATGCCAGGTGCTCTGGTACCCAGACAGCACAACAAGTTTTTTAAAAAAAAGATACAGCTCCTAGAGTTCTCACTCAGCAGAGTGGGTTGCTAGGAAATTGCTTCTACTTGCTGCTGCTGTAGTACATTGTTGTTATTCAGTGCTGTTCAGTTGGTTCTGACTCATAGCCAACATGTATAGTGTTTCCCAGAGTGGCTGGTGAGTTTAAACTGCCAATCTTGTAGTTACCAGCCCAGTGCTTATATTACAGCACCACCCAGGGCCCGCCATAGTGTACAGAGCAGTCAGTAAAGATATCCCACCTCTCCCCAGTACAATCCGGGCCTACAGCATGATTCTTCCCTGTCTTCCAGGAATCACCAGCACGAGTACTTGCTCTAACGAGTCAGAGGTCTAAATGTGCTTTCCTTGCTTGAAGTTTTTTTCCCACTTCGCTGATTTCCTAAAATATACTTTTCTCATTTTCTATTTTTAGTTTTTCTCCTTTGGTGTTAGAGTCTTGGGGCTCTACACTAAAAACTCACTGATGCTAGAGAAGAGATAACATAATTCATTTATTATTTTGGGTTTTTTTTTTTTTTTGAGAAAATGTAACATACTTGTTTGGTGCTTAGTCCGGGATGGGGGATACAAATGACTTCTTTCATTAAATTCAGCTTCCCAGAAGATGATTTTCCGCAGCTGATCAGAGACACCATCAGCATAGGTACGCTTAGCTTTTTTGGCTGTTCCTGAAATATAGGAACAGCAAAGTAAAACCTGGTGTGGAGCTGTAGGATAAGCACTGGATTGTTAATTGCAAGGTAGGTGGTTCAGACCCACCAGTTGCTCCTTGGAAACCCAACACAGGGTCACTATGAGTCAAACTAACTTGAGGACACTTAACAACAACAAAAGGAAAAATACAAAACCTGATTCATTCACAGTGAGATACGAATGGGCTCTACTAATGGCACCTGACACTAACCTGATTGTGCTTCAGTGACGCAATACGTAAGTAGAGAGGATTACTGGCCAGGATGGCGCTGGCTTTTGCAACAGCTAGTGACACAGCCGCTATGGCCATGCTGCCACAGAGGACAGGTTCGGCAGGTTCTTCAGGTGGGATCGGCTTCTCCAGAAGAGTATCCTTCCTCCCTGGGGAACGCAGATTGATGAGCCGTAGTAACGAGGAGTTTGACTGAATAAAATGATATTTTTGCATGCTTCTATTACAGGTATAACAGACCAGCAAAAAGTAAGGATAAAACCTGAGGTTGGAAAGAACATATTCTCTACCTCAACAGCCAGGTTTTGCTTAATTCCCCTTGTTGTTGTTGTTAAGTACCTTTGAGTTGGTTCCGACCCATAAGTACCCTGTATAGGGTTTCTGAGGAGCGGCTGGTGACCTTGAACCGCCGACCCAGCAGTTCAAACCAATTTTGCAGTCCAACACATTAATCCACAGTGCCGTACCAGGGCTCCCTTACTTACCTGCTAATGCTCAGATAATTCTTAGCCATGGATTTTGCCTCTCTAAGAAATTCTAGGCCATTCAACATCAACTTCTTCAACCATCCTGGGGAGTAGACATTGTTAGCCCACATTCACATATAAGTAAACTGGGGGGCTTAAGAAAAGATATTTGCCCAGGTTCTAACAATCAGTGGATAAAGACAGGATTTGGGCAACTTGGAATTCCAAATCCTTTGTTTTGCTATATTCCACCAGAGCTTCCAAGTACTCACGTTCGTGTTGAACATCTCTTCATGATTATGCCTGACTTCTTATCCTTCTCCGCAGCCTCAAACCAATGCCTAGTTCCATGCTGTTGCTGACTATTGAAATAACTCCCAGATCCAACCATTCACCCAGAATCCTCACCCATGTTTCATTCTAATATGTTCTCAGCCACCGTGTCTGAGCAGGTACCACTGAGTCTCTAGGGTCACTCGTGTCTTCTCTGTGCCTGTAATTGCTGCTTTATCTCAGATCCCTGAAGATAAGCTATATAAGCACCTGGCGGCGGCGGTGGCGGCGGCGGTGGTGGTGGTGGTGTTGGTGTGCTGTGGAGTCAGTTCTGCCTCATAGTGACCCTGTGTAGGGTTTCTGAGGCTGTAACTCTTTATAGGAGCAGAAAGTCTCATCTTTTTCCTGTGGAATGGCTGGTAGTTTCAAACTGCTGACCTTGTCGTTAGCAACACAAATCGTAACCACTACGCTACTACAGCTACTTATGAAAGTATTAAGCACATAATTAGTGCTTAACCAATTACTGTCCTCTCTTGTTCTTTCCTTCTCTTAATTTCTAGGGTAATCTGTAGGATAAGCACTGAATTGCTAACCCCAATGTTGGCAGTTCAAACCCACCAGCAGCTCCTCTTGAAACCAACTCAACAGCACTTAACAACAACATCAGAAAATAGGGAAACCTGGTGTGGCACTACAGGATAAGTACTGGACTTCTAACCAAAAGGTGGGTAGTTAAAATCCACCAGCCACTTCTTGGAAACGCTATACAGGGTCATTATGAGTTAGAAGCAATTCAATGGCTCTTAACAACAACAACAACAACAATCTGAAAACTAGGAATAGACAAATGAACATCCATTGGTGGCCATTACCTATTACTCGGTAGTGGCCACCTCTGCCCTCCCAAGAAATGATTGGTTGGTCTCAACATAGTTCTTTTGCCTTGAGCAATTTTCTTTCCCTCTCTAGACCTCTGCATCCAAATCTGTGGACACAAGGGACCTTATCTCCATCATACTTTGGCCACTGGTTCTGGAGTTCTCTTAGTCACTGGAACTCACATTGACTGAGTGGTTCATCTGTGTCTGGGACTGTGGTGGTGATGTGCCGTGGAGTTGGTTCCGACTCATAGCAACCCTGCATAGAGGTTCCAAGACTGTAAATCTTTACAGGAGCAGAAAACCTCATCTTTCTCCTGTGGAATGGCTGGTAGTTTCAAACTGCTGACCTTGAGGTTACTAGCCCGACTCGTAGCCACTATGCTATCAGAGTTCCTTGGGACTGTGCTAGATATTGGCAATGTCAAGATGAGTCAGGCATGCTTTATCCCCTTAAGGAGCATGCTCTTCTTGTAGATAAAACATGTTAGAATACGAGTGGAGGCTTCAGACTTAACCTACTGGCGGCAGTGGGTAGCATACTGTTAGAAGGGGTAGAGAAAGGGTGGTGATTACTTAAGATTCTGTTGGCTTTAAAATAGTAAAATTTTCTGAAGAAAATTTTATTAAGGTCTGAGAGGATGTTGGTTGTCCATATCAAAGGATGTCATTATTCGGTAAAATATGGAGTGACTTTTTGAAGAGCTAATGGAAATTTTGGGAGCAAGATGAGGCTTTCTGCTCTCTTAAAGATTTATAGCCTTGGAAACCCCACCCTATCAGAATGCATTCCATGGTACCTAACAACCACCATGAAGGAAATCTGAGGGCAAGGCCTAGTTTAAAAGCCTCCCATGCCACACTCCCTGACATTACCACTATCCAATACAATGGGATCAATATTCACCTCGAGGTCAGAAATACTTGCATTCTACAAATCAAAATGGAAGGGAGAATGAGGTGAAACCCTGACCATCCAACACAATGGACCTAGTTGGAACCTAACCTAGGACCTAGTTGGAACCTAACCTAGGACTACACTAAAGAGACTTGTCTCTGGAATGCTGTCCAAACTCTAGTCTTTCTTCCTCACACATTTGTCACTAAAGGTTCTGCAAAATGATAGCCACCAACCTTGCTTCTGTCCTTTCTTTTTCGGAAGAGGCGGAAGAAGAGGTGGTGGTGGCGGCGTAGGCACTGTTAAGTCTTCTGCCAAATTTTCCAATTCTTTTCTCTCCTGCTCCTCTTGCACTTTGTTTGCAAAGAATGTCCTTGATGGCAGGAAAATATGGCTTTGGAATGAGACACTTAAGAACGAATCCGCTTTGATTTCCAAGACCCCAAAATAATGATGCTGTTAATAAAACTGTGTTCGGGAACTGAAATAAATTGGATGATTTCAGGTGCTCATGTTTTACATTATTTGAGCCCTCTTTGTAGTTTTAAAGGAAAACTTGAAGAAATAATTGAATGAAGGGCAACTGGGTTTTCTTTTACAGGAAATGGTCATCGGAAGACAAATGAGTCCAAAGTAGATGGTGAAATGTGATACGATCTTCGTTTGTTGAGTTTTTGTATTTTTGCTTAAAGGAGTAGTTTATATATAAAAAAACAACATAAACTTTGGGACATCCCACTTAAGTACAACAACCATATAAAAGTTCAGATTTCTCTACCTTCATTCACCCACCCTCCCCCACCCCCAAGCTCCCCCTCCACATACACATAATAAAGAGAACAGGCTACAAACTTCCACAGATTTAAAGCAATCAAACAAGCAACAAAGACATGGGAATCAGATTTGCATTTGATGAATAATCAAGATTCTAATGGAGCAATGCTTTAAACTACTGAGAGAAATTGACTTGAACCACCAAGTCTATACTGGGCCAGTCTACCAACAGCGTGGGCAGAGTACTGATGTTACCACACATGTAAGATCTCAAAAATGTATACCTACATACCCCTTTCCTACCCTTACTTTAAAAGGGTGTAACTCAGCCAATCAAGAATGGACAAGACAGAGGAGATTGGGGAGGAGAGTCTTTATGGCATCTGCTGTTTTCCAAGAGGGGTATCAGCCCAGATGGGAGAACTGGAGAGGGAAAACTCCAGGAGAAAACATCAAAGGACTAGAATAGAATTGGTGGCTGGCTTGACTGGGAGCTTGGAAAAACATGAAGAAATATGCAAATAGGGCAACTATAAATAAATAAAAGGAATAGCATTTAGGAACTTCAGGAGAAACCAAAACTACACAAGAAAGTTTCTGGCAAAAGTCATGCTCCAACTCTGAAGCAAAAGAGCAAAGTGAATTTTTTTGACCACTTTAATTTTCATTTGGTTGAAAGGCTGTGGCATGAGACGTGCACAAAAGGAAAAGGAATCCTGATGTATCACTTGGCTGGGCATTGAACAGTGCTTACAGAGCCCCTAGTAATCCAGACACTCCCTTTCAAATGGTTTTCAAATGAGAACGTCAGTCTTTGAACAAAGCCTGGAGACTCAGTGGCTGTAGGAGACACTGGCAGTCTGAGCAGTGTTGACCACGTGAAAGGCTTGTGAGATGCTTGGAAGGTGGGATTTGAGGGCTGGGGAGAGGGAAAGTACATCAACCGGATTCTTAACTTGATCCTTTTCCTCAGAAAGGCTTTACTGAATCCCACAAAAGCTCTTTGCATCAAAAGCGGCTAAACGACCTAATGTGTCTTACATAGGTAAGATTTTAATAACTGGCTTATCAGAAGATTAAAAAAAATTATGGTAAATATTGGGGCTTCTTAAACTGACTTCGTAACTCTGGCAGGTATGATGAAAACAAGTATATATTGGTATTTCACATTTATATTTCAAAGTGGAAGAGTTACCTGAGCAGCTGATCCACCTCAGCCTGGTTGGAAGGTTCCAGGCCCTGAATCTCCACAGTGATCATGTTGTTGACCCACTGCACAGCTGTGCTGATGGCGTTGTTCCGTTCCAATTCCTCAGCTTCCATTAGCTCGGGCAGAAGGTTTTCATGTACTTCAAAGTGAGACGAGATCACCACAGAACATATGTTCTGAAAATAATATGTGTCTACATTGTCCCTAGCTCTCACAGAAAACAGGAAATGGAATTAACCCAGCTTTTCACACAGATGATAGTATGTCACCAATTTCAAGAGGGAAATGAGAATATATCATTTTCTTTGAGATATTTCTATAGTTGTGAAGCCCAATTTCAAGTAAAATTTAGTTATTAACTCATTAAAGTATCCTTATAAAAACTCTATAGTGGAGTTCATATTTATCATTACCTAGGTCTGTGGTTCAAGCTCACCAGATGCTCCTCAGAAACCCTTTACAGGGTCACTATGGGTTGGAACTGACTTAACGGCACTTAACAACAACAACAACAACCAATAAATAGGCAAAAGAACACTCGCAAATTTAATCAAAATTGTTCTCCTCCGAGAGGCTGTAGCAAAATTATTTCTAACAATAAATAAGCATGCTAAACATAGCACAATCAGCAATCAAACCTGTTAAACTCAGTTCTTTATGCAGATCAGATTACCTATCTATACATTCAGACAAGCTTATAAATATGAAGGCAAATGAAAAAGTATAGGATTCCACATCAAACATGCATGTTTTGATCCCAAACGGTTTTAACATGATCAGTGGACAGCTGCAGACAAAATATTTCAGTAATTCACTTGTATTAGTCTCGTTGTTGTTAAGTGCCAACAATTCAGTTTGGACTCGCAGAGATCTTGTATAGGGTTTCCAAGGCTTTTTATTTTTCTGGGAGTGGAAAGCCTCATCTCTGTTTTGCGGAGCTGCTGGTGGGCTCTAACTGCTGACCTTGTGGTTCACAGGCCAGTAATGATCCAAGTCTCATTAGGATGCCTTTCGGTGCCATCGACAAAATGATTTTGAGGTCGAGGCTTATAGAAAAGTTTTAACAAAACTCAAGTGGACATCTTCCCAAATCACTGAAGCTTTGTAGCAAGTTTACAAGAATGCTGCCCCACATAAAACAATAATTTTTAGATGGATCAAAGCAGGTAAGGATGATCCTGAAGATGAATTCAAGACAGGGAAGTAAGCTCAAAAGGTTATGGAGACTGGGTTTGGGGACTCCAAAGGGATAATCTTGGTAGATTTTCTTGAAGGACACAGGATGATCACAGGGACTTATTATGAAGAAGTTTAAAGAAAATTGAAATCTGCAATGGTGAGAAAACGTCCACGAGAGTTGCGCTGAGGAATTTTTTTCCATCACAACAATGCACCTGCTCATTCTTTGAGGGTAGCAAGGGCTGTCCTACAGGAATTTCATTGGAATACTTTATCCCATCCACCCTACAGCCCTGGTTTTGCCCCTTCAGACTTCTTTTTGTTCCTCAAACTCAAAGAACCATTCAAAGGAACACAATTTGAATCTCTCGAAGATGCCAAAACTGCCATTTTGATGTCGTGTAAATCAAAGAGCACAGAACTATTTGGGGGAAGGGTTAAAGAGATGGAAACTCTGCCTTCAGAAGTGTATAGACCTAGATGGTGAATACATCAAGCAATAGCAGCTTGATATTTTTTTGTTTAATTATGTTTAATAAAGGTTTCTTAATGAAGGTTACCTACCAACCATTAAAAATCCTCACGACTGGATCAACAAATAACATCCATATAAATGGTGAAAAGGTTGACGTCAGTGATTTCATTTTGGTTAGGTCTACCATCAACCGTCATGGATACAGCAGTCAAGAAATCAGGTGATGTAGTGAATTGGGTAAATCTGCTGCACAAGATCTCTTTAAAGTGTAGATGAGCACAGATGTAAGTTTGAGAACTAAGGTGCAGCTGACACAAGCCATGGTATTTTCAATAAGCTCAAATGCATGCAAAAGTTGGATAGCGAACAAAGAAGACTGTAGAAAAATTGAGGCCTTTGAGTTATGGTGTTGAAGAATATTGAAAGTACCATGGACTGCCAAAAGAACAAATGGATCTGTGTTGGAAGAAATCCTAGAAATCAGGATGGCCAGACTTTGTCTTTCATACTTCGGACATATTATCAGGAGGGGCCAGTCACTGGAGAAGGATATCATGTTCGGTAAAGTGGAGGGTTGGAGAAAAAGAGGAAGACACCCAATGAGATGGATTGGCACAGTGGCAGCATCAATGGGTTCAAATGTAGTAACGATTGTGAGGCTGGCCCAGGACCGGACAGTGTTTCATTCGGTTGTGCATAGGGTCGCTATGAGTTGGTATTGACTCGATGGCACCTAACACCACCACCACCAACCACTAAAGCCAGTCATGATGGAATTGAAGAACTCTATCTTCTTCAGTTTGAAATTGGTCAAACATACAATCAAGATGCATTGATAATCACTGGTAATTGAAATGAGAAAGTTGGAATCAAAGAGAAAGGATCTACAGTTGGAAACTATGGCCTTGGTGATAGTAACGATGGTTGAGACCTCATTATAGTATTTGTAAGACCACTGACTTATTCATTGCAAATACCTCTTTTCAACAGCATTGTTATTGTTGTTAATTGCCATCAAGTCAGTTCTGACTCATAGCGACCCCATCTAGGGTTTCTGAAGAGTGGCTGGTGGGTTTGAACTCCAACCCTGCTGTTAGCAGTCCAGTGCTTATCCTACAGTGCCACACCTGGATCCCTTCAACAACATAAACGGTGACTGTACACATGTACCTCACCAGAGAGAGTGCATAGGAAGCAAACTGACTACATTTGTAGTAAAGATACGATGGAGAAGCTTGGTACCATCAGCCAAAACAAGGCCAGGGACTGATTGTGGAACAGATCATCAACTGCTTATTTGCAAGTTCAGGTTGAAGTTGAAGAAAATTAAAATAAATCCATGAGAGCCAAAATATGACCTTGAGTATATCCCACCTGAATTTAGAGACCATCTCAAGAACAGAGTTGATACATTCAACTAATGACTGAAGACCAAATAAGTTATGGGATGGCATCAAAAACATCATCTATTAAGAAAGCAAAAGGTCATTAAAAAGACAGGAAAGAAAGAAAAGATCAAAGTGGATGTCAGAAGAGACGCTGAAACATGCTCTTGAACTTAGGGAAGCTGAAACAACTGGAAGAAATGAAGTAAAAGAGCTGAACGGAAAATTCAAAGGGCAGCTTGAGAAGACAATGTTAAGTATTTTAATGAAATGTGAAAGGACATGGAATTAGAAAAACAACAGGGATGAACACGTTCAGCATTTCTCAAGTTGAAAGAACAGAAGAAAAAATTTAAGCCTTGGGTTGTGATGTTGAAGGATTCTATGAGCACAATGGAGTTTGGGTGTGGCACTGTAGGATAAGCACTGGACTGCTAACTGTGGTTCAAAGCCACCAGCTGCTCCTTCGGAACCCTATAAAGGGTCACTATAAATTGGAAATGACTTGATAGTACTAATAACAAAACTTAACAACATGGCCAAATACTGAATGACGTAGGAAACATCAAAAGAAGATGGAGGGCATACGCAGAGTCATTTTACCAAAAAGAACTGAATGATGTTCAAGCATATCAAGAGGTATCATGTGATCAGTCACTGATGATACTGAGGGAAGAGGCTCAAGCTGTACCAAAGGCATCGCAAAAAGCAAGGCTCCAGACATTGATGGAATATCAATGGAAATGCTTCAACAAATTGATGCAATACTGGAAGCCTATGCAAAGAAATTTGGAAGACAGCTACCTGGCCAATTGATTGGTAGAAACCCATTATTTGTGTTTATTACAAACAAAGGTGGCCCAAAGAAACCCAGAAATCATTAAACAGTATCACTAATATCACTTGCAAGTTGAACTCTGCTGAAGATAATTCAAAACCAGTTGTAGCAGTACACTGGCAGGGAGCTGCCAGAAATTCAAGCTAGATTCAGAAGAGGACGTGGAACTAGGGCTATCATTGCTATCTATGCAACTTGACTGAAAGCATAGAATACCAGAAAGATGTTTTTTGACTCTGCAAAGGCCTTCTACTGTGTGGATCATAGCAAGCTATGGATACCATTGTGAAAATGGGAATTTCAAAACACTTAATTTTGCTCAATAGGAACCTGTACATTAACCAAAAGGTTCTGTTTGAACAGAACAAGGGAATCCTGAATGGTTTTAAATCAGGAAAGGTATGCACCAGGGTTGTATCCTTTCACCATACTTATTCAATCTGTATGTTGTTATTGTTGTTGGTGGTGGTGGTAAGTGTTATCCAGTTGGTTCCAACTCATAGCAGCCATATATAGGGTTTCCAAGGAGCGGCTGGTGAGTTTGAACTGCTGACCTTGCGGTTCAAACTGACCTTGTGTTCCAGTGTTTTTATCCCCCAGTACCACACCAGGACTCTGACAAATAATCTAAGAAACTGGATTATTTGAAAGAAGAGTGTGACATCAGGATTGGAGGAAGACTCATTAACACTTGCGATATGCAGATGACACAAGATTGCTTGCTAGAAGTGAAGAGGATTTGAAGTATTTACTGATGAAGATCAAAGACTGCCACCTTCAGTATGGATTGCACCTCAATGTAAAGAAAACAAAAATCCTTACAACGGAGCCAATAAACAACATCATGATGAATGAAGAAAAGATTGAAGTTGTCAAAGACTTCATTTTGCTTGGACCCACAGTCAATAGTCATGGAAGCTGTTGTTGTTGTTGTTAAGTTCTGTCAAGTCAGTATTGCACTAGGCAAATCTGCTGCAAAAAACCTCCTTAAAGTGTTAAAGAGCAAAGATGTCATTTTGAGGACTAAGGTGTGTCTGTTCCAAGCCATGGTATTTTCAATGCCTCCTATGCATGTGAAAATTGGACAATAAATAAAGAAGCCAGCAGAAGAATGGATGCATTTGGATTATGGTGTTCGAGAAGAATATTAAAAGAACCATGCACACCAGAAGAACAAACAAATCTTTCTTGGAAACAGCCAGAATGTTCTTTAGAAGCAAGAATGGTTATGCCTTTGTCTCTTGTACTTTAGACATGTTGTCAGGATGGACCAGTTCCTGGGGGACATCATGCTTGGTAAAAGTGGAGGGTCAGCGAAAAAGAGGAAGTCACCCAATGAGATGGTTTGACACAGTGGCAGCAAAAACAGGCTCAAACATAATGACAATTGTGAGGCTGGCACAGGACTGAGCAATATTTTGTTCTGTTGTGTATAGAGTCCCTAAGAGTCAGGACCAACTCAACCATTTGATGGCACCTAACAATAACAACTACTACACAATTTTGCAGCGATACTTTTTGACTTGCCCTTGTATGTAACTCTCTAAATCTACATGTTGCTATAGGACTGACTGATTGCATTGATAATATCAGAACTTAAAACTATGTTTGCCTTTCTTTCTCTGCCTTTGATCATCTACACATAACAGTCAGGTCTGTATCAAAATTACACTTAACAATAATAAAGCCATAGTAGTTGGTGAAGTCAGGCTTCCTATTTATGAATACCTATGAATAGTGGTGGTGGTGGCTTATATGCCGTGGAGTCGGTTCCGACTCATGGTCACCCTGTACAGCGTTTCCGAGGCTGTAAGTCTTTATGGGAGCAGAAAGCCTCATCTTTCTCCCGCGGAACAGCTGGTAGTTTCGAACTGCTGACCTTGTGGTTCACAGCCCGATTTGTAACCAGAGTATTCACATGCATTTCACTGAATTTCAAAACATTATGATAATTTTCTACAATTTAGACCAGGTGATGGTGTTAGCTGCGGTCTAGTTGATTCGAACTCACGGTGAACAATTTAGACAGTTGCTAATAAATGTAATGGGGCCAGGATATACTGAAGAATGCACTTAAGCTGCCTCATACCTTGGGAAAATTTTGAATGGTGCAGAATATTTCCACTTGCAGGGTTGGAAGGCCTAGTCCATCCAGCACGTTCTTCCCCACTGCTTTGCATATGGTAGGAGGTTTTGCAAGTTTAGAAAAGCAATTTGCCTTTAACACACACACACACACAAACAAAAAAACAAAACCCCAAAAGTCACAATACCCATTTAATTTATTTCAAAAGGTCATTCACATGTTCTCTTTTTAGTTTCTACTCAGCCTTTCTCTGTGTGTTGTTTCTGGTTCCAGGGTTAGACTACTAGCTCTGTGGGAATTCCCTTCCGTAAAGCCCTGAGATTTGGATTCAGTCTCTGGTACATGAGGCAATCTGTTTCCCAGCAGAAACTTAATGTCTTTGTTGTTTTTTAATTTAAAGGCCCTGTGTGACTTTTCACCAAGCCTTCCACTCAGTTCTCTAAGCCATCTTAAATGGACTGCTTTTTATTCCTCTTAGGACTCCTGGCGTGGCGCTGTAGGATCAGCACTGGACCATGACCCACAAGGTTGGTGGTTCAAATCCACCAATTGCTCCTCGGAAACCCTGTACAAGGTTGCTATGGGTCAGAAGTGAATCAATGGCACTGAACAGCAGCAGCAGCAGCAGCAAGGCATTTGCCATTATTAGATTGAAGACTTAGGTGACAGTTGCATTTCACTCACCACCAGTTTATACATAGTCCTAGGGGTTCAACGAGGACTGCTGCTTCATTGATGTGGAAAAGCAGAAGCCATTTGGAAATACCCCAAGAAAGAAAATCAAGTGGAGGGAGAAAGCCCATTCAAGGAGTATGAATAAAAGATTCATGATGGCGTTTCAATACAGAGGAGCAGGAGCTAGGAGAGGAGGGGAGAAGAGTAATGGAAGACACATTCTCCTCATCTTCTTCAGTATCAGGTGGTGGTGGTGGTGGTGGTGATGTGCCATGGAGTCAGTTCTGACTCACAGTGACTCTGTGGAGGGTTTCCATGGCTGTAAATCTTTATGGGAGCAGAAAGTCTCATCTTTTCCCCACATTACCAGATAATACTGGATTCTTAATTTTCACTTAGCAGACCAAGTATTCTGATCTTTCAGTTAAATTCCAACAACCTCTACACAGATAACAGGTCATCTAATACCCATTAGCAATGTGCCAGCTTGGAGGTGCCACCCCATCAGAATGCAAACAATAGCCAATTCTCAAGCTTGTGAATTTAGATAGAATCAGGAACAGGAAAAATGCTCCCTAACTTCTACTTTGTGTATCATAGTGAGTTCAGGTAACATGTACAATGTGCTGGATATTATATTATGTGGGAAAGGGAACTTTTTCTGAGTGCATAAGATGTACCTTGTAATAGTGACTGTGTCTTGTTTATCACTGTAACACATATCACAGAGCCTATAAAGGATTCCAAGGAGCTCTGGTAGCATAATGGTTACAAACCAGGCTGCTAACCTCAAGGTTGGCAGTTCGAAACTACCAGCTGTTCTGCAGGAGAAAGATGAGGCTTTCTACTCGGCCGTAAAGATTTATAGTCTTGGAAACCCTGTGCAGGGTCATTATGAGTCAGAACCAACTCCATGGTACTTAACAACATAAAGGATTCCATAAACCTTATATAGATTAACGAATGCCAGACATATCTAGGCACTCTGTTATGAAGTTTCGCAAAACAACTCTATAAGGTTGGTGGTATAGTTTCCATTCCACAGATGAGCAGACTGAGTTCCAGAGAAGTAAACTGACTGGGAGCACAGGGCCAATGTTTTATCTATTGCTATATAATAGACCTGGGGAGCACATGGTTTTGTAGGATAAGCACTAGACTGCTAACCACAAGGCTGGTGGTTCAACCCCAACAGCCACTCTGCAGGAGAATGATGAGGCATTCAGTTCCTGCAAAGACTTCATCTTGGAAACCCTATACAGTGTGGCTATGAACTGGAACCTACTCAACGGTGCTTATCAACGTGGAACAGACCATCTCAAAATGTAGTGGCTGAAACCATTTATTCATTCATGATTCTGTGATTTGAACTGGTCTCTGCTGGGTAATTCTTTTGCTAGTCTTGTCATGGGTTTCCCATGCAGATGTGGTCATCTGGAGGCTTGACACAGACCAGAGTATCCAAGATGGCTTCACTCACGTGTCTAGTGCATCAGCTGGGATGGTTAGAACAACTAGGGGTGGATGGGTATCTGTCTTTCACATTCTGGAGGCCTCAAAGCTGCTAGGGTCTCTCTACACAATCTCCTGTTCTCCAGCAGAGGAACTGGACTGTCTCACAGCATGAGGACAAGCTTCCAACCAAGGCAGGGTATTCCAAGAGGGTAAGCCTCAACAGTCAGCGCTTATTAGGCCTGTTGTATCATGCTTGCTAAGGTCCTATCAATCAAAGCAAGTCACATGGCCAAGTCTGGAGTGATGTGGGGGAGGCTTAAAAACATGCATACTGGAGAAAGGGTTCACTGGGCATCGTCAACATCATAGAGGACCAAAGCTAGTACACTAAAGACCAAAGACCAGAAGAGTTGTGGGATGACATCAAGAACATCATACAGGAAGAACGCAAAAAATCATTAAGAAGACAAGAGAGAAAGAAAAGATCAAAATGGATGTCAGACAAGACACTGAAACTTGCTCTCCAGTGTAGAGATGCTAAAGCAAATTGAAGAAATGAGGTACAAGAGCTGAACAGATCATTTCCAAGGTCAGCTTGAGAAGACAAAGTCAAATATTACAACAAGATGTGCAAAGATCTGGAGTCAGAAAACCAAAAAGGAAGAATACGCTCAGCATTTCTCAACTTGGGGGAAGCAAAGAAAAAATTCAAGCCTCGACTTTTGTTATTGAAGGATTCTCTGGGTAAATTATTGAAAGATGCAGAAAGCATCAAAAGAAGATAGAAAGAATACACAGAGTCCCTGTACCAAAAGGAAATGGTTGATGTTCAACTGTTTCAAGAGGTAATATATGATCAAGAGCCAATGATACTGAAGGAGGGAGCCCAAGGTGCATTGAAGGAAATGGCAAAGAACAAGGCACCAGGACTTGATGGAGTGAAAATTGAAATCTTTCAAGAAAGTGAGGCAGCACAGGAGGCAGCTGCTCATCTATGCCAAGAAATTTGGAAGACAACTATCTGGCCAACTGATTGGAAGAGATCAGTATTTATGCCCATTCCAAACAGAGGTGACCCAACGGAATGCGGAAATCATTGGACAATATCTTTGATATCCCATACAGTAAAGTTTTACTAAAGGTAATATAGAAACGGCTGCAAGAACACATTCAGAGAACTTCCAGAGGTTCAAGCTGGATTCAGATGAGGACGTGGAATGAGGGAGAGCATTGCTGATATCTGATGGATCACGGCTGAAAGCAGAGGATATCAGAAAGATGTTTACCTGTGCTTTATTGACTACGCAAAGGCTTTTGATTGTGTGGATCATGACAAGTTATCGACAACATTGCCAAGTATGAGTATTCCGGAACACTTAATTGTGCTCATAAGGAATCTGTACATGGACCAAGAGGCAGTTGTTCGAACAAAACATGGGAACACTGAATGGTTTAAAATTAAGAACAGTGTGTGACAGGCTTGTATTCTTTTACATACTTATTCAACCTGTCTGCTGAGCAAATAATTTGAGAAGCTGGGTTATATGAAGAAAAACGTGGCATCAGGATTGGAGGAAGACTCATTAACAACCTGTGATTATGCAGATGATACAACCTTGCTTGCTGAAAATGAAGAGGACTTAAAATATTTATTGTTGAAGATCAAAGACCACAGCCTTCGGTATGGACTGCATCTCAATGTAAAGAAAACAAAAATCCTCACCACTGGACCAATAAACAACATTCTTATCAACGGAGAAAAGACTGAAGTTGTCAAGGACTTCATTCCTCTTGGATCTACTATTAATACTCATGGAAATAGCAGTCAAGAAATCAAGCGATGTATTGCAAGAAATCAAGCAATGTATTGCATTAGGCAAATCTGCTGCACAAGACCTTTTAAAAGTGTTGAAGAGCAAAGATGTCAGCTTGACGACTAAGGTGCACCTGACCTAAGACATTGTATTTTCAATAATCTCATATGCATACGAAAGCTGGACAGTGAATAAGGAAGACTGTAAAAGAATTGATGCTTTTGAGTTATGCTGTTGGAAGAAAATACTGTAAGTACCATGGGCTGCCAAAAGAACAAACAATCTGTGTTGGAAGAAGTGCAGCCAGATTGCTCCTTATGGGCCAGGACGTCCAAACTTCATCTCTCATATTTTAGACATAATGTCAGGAGAGACCATGTGCTGGAGAAGGATATCAGGTTTGGTAAGGTGGAGGGTCATAGAAACAGAGGAAGACTCCCCAGCAAGATGGGCTGGCAAAATGGCAGCATCAATGGGCTCAAGCATGGCAACAATTGTGAGGTTGGCCCAGGATTGGGCAGTGTTTCGTTCTGTTGTACATAGGATCGCTGTGAGTCGGTACCGACTTGATGGCACCTAGTAACAACAACAACAAAGCTAGTAAGTGGCAGAGCCAAGAATTACAGCAATCCCAAACTCTTCAACCCTAAATCTATGGTATAGGAGTACGCAGTATTGCTGTCGAATACTAGGATTGTCCCTATCCCCTAATTCCTTTAATAGGTAACAGATAACTAGAAGAAAAGACATTTGAGCCCAACATTGGAAGAAGTGTAGTATTTTAACAGGTTGAATGAGGAGAAGTTGACGTAGGTATTTCAAGTAGAGGGAAGACGATAAGCAAAATGGAAGAAAAGTAGGGTGAGTGGTTCAAAGTGAAGGGGGAGGAGGGTGGATGGAGGGGACCCTGTACCAGAATACCCCCGCCCCCCCCACACACACTAAGGTGTTTGATCTTGTTATAGCTTGCAGGGAAAGCCACAGGAGGTTTCTGAGAAGAGAATGATGGTCACATTTGAGTATTGGGAACACTGATTTGGCAGCACTACCAGTTCGGTAAGGGATGGTCCAAAGGGGTTAGCTGAAGGTTTTTATGCTGAGCTACAGGTGTTGCATGGTCTGGTAGCTTAGTGGTTCCGAATCGGGTTGCGAACCTTAAGGTCAGCAGTTTGAAACTACCAGCTGTTCCACAGGAGAAAGATGAGGTCTGCTCCCGTAAAGATTTACAGCCTCAGAATCCCTGTACAGGGTTGGAACCGGCTCCACAACACATAACAACAACGTGGTTTTGCGGCCTGTATTTTAAAAAACAACTAGCAGCTAAGGCAGGTCCGCCCGAAGGTCTCGCTGTGGCTACAAATTTCCTCAGGCTGGTCCTTCCTACTACTTTCTCTTCCTGGCTCCAACACCCGAACCTCCTCTTCAGGAGGCGCCGCTCCAGCGCGGCCCTTGGAGGTGCGCATGCGCAGTGGTCCCGGTGTTGCCGCAGCGCGGGGCGGGGGGAGAGGGGCTGGAGGGAAGAGGGTGTCCGTCCCAGGTCCCTACCAGGTGCCCGTAGACATCGTCAGGCTGGAGGTAGAAGGTGGAGTTCAGCAGCTCTTCCAGTCTGCGCGGTACGTCATTCTGCTGGTAGTACTCCATCGCCCGCTGCTTCAGCTTCTGCAGCTCCCTAGTGGTCCCACAGTTGCGGCGGCCGCCTTCTTCTCCCATGGTAGGAGAATTGAGGCTATGGCGGGGGTTAGCCTGGGGGCCCGCGAGCGTCCTCTCTGTCACTAGGCAACGCAACGAGATCCCGACTCTAGATCTCGCGAGGCGGAGCCTCTCCTCAAAGCTAGGGATGGTTCCCGCGCCCTCCACCCGTGGTGGGGGTCCTTTCGACTCCGGAAGTCTGGGCTCTGCAGGCTTCGGTTTTTGACATCACTCTCCTCCCCACCCCCCGCTTTCTAAACGGGGAAACATCTCACGGTTCCTGAAGCTCTTTTTTTCGGTTCAAAGCTCTTCCACACCTCTTACCTCCCCGCCGACTTCCAGCCGGGGACTCTAGTTCGGGTGGTGCGCCCGGCTTCCCGCGGTCACCCCGCCTTCCCCAGCACAGTCCCCCGCCATCCTGCGGTTAAGAGCGCCTCTGGCTGCGAGTCCCGCTGCAGGGAGACCCAGCCATTGCGGGTGGGATATGAGAACTCGGGGTGTCCGTACTGAGCTGGGGAGACCCGAAGGATTATTCCCCACTCCTATTATCGCCCCCACCCTTGAGCTGAGCTGTGTGCTAGACTGTGTATATAGACGAGAAACGGCTCAGCACCTGTCCTTAAATTAAAATGGGTGAAACCAGTGAAAGGAAAAAGTGTGAACAGCTAAAGTATTTGGGGGTGGGTGCGGTGCTGTAGGATAAGCACTGGACTGCTAACCTCAAGGTCAGCGATTCAAACCCATAGCCACTTCATGAAAACCCTATACAAGGTCACCATGAGTGGGAACTAGCAGCAACTCGGGCGGTGGATGATACCTGCAAGGTTTGGAGAAGAGGGATGGGAGTGGAGGAGTGTCCTCAGGTCGTGTTCGTTCTCAACACCCTTTAGAGCTGCTTTGTAAAATCCAGACTATCTGCCTCTTGATAGATCCAGGCTGCTATAGAACGCGTCCCTATGCACCGCCCCCTCTGCTGCAGGAATGGACCCAGAGGGACGCAGTGTGGCTGACCTAAGCAGATCTTAAAAGATGGACGCTTCACTTTGCTTCTCTGGAGAACATAACCTTATCTACTCTTTCTGCTTCACGAACCATTTAGGATAGAATGACTAGTAGTGAGAAAGCACTTTGAAAAAAGGTAGTTAATTTCTAGGAGCTGCAAGATGTATATAGATGTATGTATGTAAATACGTGATTCTGTAGATACTGTTAATAGGAGCCTAAACAGGCATATCTGTTCCTCTAAACGCCGTTTCTTTTTTCTGGCCTTCTTAAGGTACTTTTCTGTAGTGTTATCCACCATCATGGGCTTGCTTTATCCTCTGGGCTAGATGGAAATCCCTCAGAGGTAGAAGCTTGCCTGAGCCATCTCTGTCCTCTGTAGAGCCTGGGCCCCAGAGGGAGAGAGTGATTCTCTGTAGGTGTGAGATGAACTTTTACCCAAAATAAGCCAGTGCTGTTGCTGTTATAATTTCCCTTCCACTTTTGTGCCTTTCCTCATATCCCCCTGGATGGAAGGCACCCTCTTATGTGCCCATCGTTTAGTACTTAACTTGAGCCCCACATCTTCAAAGAAGGCATGTTCCATACTCCAGCTGTCACCCAGTGAGCCCTTTCCCCGCTTGCAGCCTGGGCCACAACACTTATACTTCAGTGATTTACTGAGTTACTTGACATTTAAATGGAAGATTGGAAGTATCTTGGCCTGTTACCACTATGTCTTTGATATTTCCTCTATGTAACCTCAGTGACCTCTAAATCCTAAGAGGACAGGAACTTGTTTTGTCTTATTCAGCACTGTGTCCCCAGCATCAGTATATGAGGGGGCATCTTTGGAAAATGGAAATGAAAAGAGAATGGAATTTTCCCAGGAACTTTTTGAAGCCCTATCATATTACCTGATGGAATAGATATTCAGTAAATATTTATTGAAAGAAGGATTTGGCTCACCTTTCCCCGCCCGCCTGCCGCCCCCCCCCCCAAATAGTAGATGTTCAATAAACATATGATTCACAATCAAATGTTTCTAAGTTAGGTAATTAATGGGTATGTCAACCCTGCTAGAGCATAAAGTTTGTTTTCAGGAGTAATGAAAAATCAGGATGGGAAAATAGCCTGAGATTAGATTGTGAAGGGACTCGAGTATCTTTCTCTAAGAGTGGGAAGTTACCACTGATTTTGGAAGATAGGATGCGTAAGATGGAAATTGTATTTTAGCAAGTGAACTGACAGTAGTGGGGAAGATTGGTGGCAGTAGTATTTGGCTATGCAAAAAAACAGGAACTCCAAGTAGAAAAAAATATAGATGTGAAGACCTAAGTTCTAACGATAGTAATGGAAGAGGTGGATTCACGGGAGGGACAATAATAGGAAGGAAAGATAGAAAAGACTAAGGAACTGGATGTGGAATAAATAGAACCCAGAGTGGCGCTACTGAGGATAACTCTTACAATTGCATTGACAGAAATAGAATAAATAAGTTCTTTGGTGTTGATGGAGGGAACCTGATACATTGAGTATTGTGTATGTAGAATTTGGGGTGGGGGGAGGTGTATCCCAGAGAAAAGGGAAGATTCCAATATGAACTACTCACATAATGTTAAAGCAAGACTAGGTAAGTCAGTTCTCTGGGGAGCAAAGTTGAACTAGGGTTATAAATATATTGGGGAAACAATATATTTAGGACATAAGAGGAGAGTAAGGGACAGTAACAGGAAACAAACTAAAAGGAAAAGTCATGGAATCTAAGGTAGGTAGTCTCGGGAATGTCAGATGTGTGACATATGCACAGAATAAAGTCAGGATATACCGCTGTCAGTTGTGTTGTCCTTGGGTGATGGGAGCATGGAATTTTTATGTTCTTTTAGCATACTGGTAGTATCTGAGTTTGCTACAATGAAGATATGACTTGACTCACTTTGAGAAATTCTGTAGAAAATAATAGAAGGAAGGCTATTAAGTCAAGTGTTATAGGAAGATTGAAGACTAAAAAGATTATTAGAAACTCACTGATTCCTTTTCTTATAGACTCTGTCTATTGTCTCAAAAATAAAATGACCATCCCAGTCTATGCCTGCCATTCACTCACCAAATATTTACTGAATGCCTACCATGTGCTGGAGATGGAGATCATGTTTGGTAAGGTAGAGGGTCAGAGAAAAAGAGGGAAGACGCCCTGCGAGATGGATTGACAAAATGGCAGGATCAATGGGCTCAAGCATGGCAATAATTGTGAGTTTGGCCCAGGACCGTGCAGTGTTTTGTTCTGTTGTATATAGGGTCCTATGAGTCGGTACCGACTTGATGACACCATGTATCAATGAGCCACGATGGTGTAGTGGGTTACACGTGGGCCTGCAAACCCAAGGTCAGCAATTCGAATCCACCAGCACTCTGTGGGAGAAAGATGAGGTTTTCTGCTCCTGTAAAGATTTAAGGCCTTGGAAACTCTATGCAAGGTCACTGTGAGTCAGAACCAACTTGGTGGTATACAACAAAAGCCATGCACCAGTCACTGCTGAGGTTGTGGTGGTGGTTGTGTGCTGTTCAGTTCTAATTCATAGGGTTGCTATATCCAGGCACCAGTGAAGTGTCAGTGAATAAAATAGCTAACAGTTCTTTTCTCCTCATGATGTGCAGTGGTACTTACATGCTAAGGAGATAGACAGGAAGGCATTTCAGAAGTTAGTGAGCTAGGGGATTCACGAACAAGCAATTCGTGCTACTTGATCCAGAGTAAATGACTGTTCATGAATATTTCACTCTTCTTATTTTCCACAGCTGTTAGAAGCACTGGGATTTTAGCTATAAGATCCATTTATTCATATGTATATTTTATACCTATTTAATACATTCCTTGTTTTAGGACCTTGGTGAATAGATTTCCATTTCCTGTGGAGACTAAATGTCTAAGGGAGCTTGCAAAGCATCTATCCTTGAATGGATTGAGTGTGGTGGTGTTAACGCTAACCCTATCTAACTGGACGCTGGGGATGGGAGTCAAAGGAAGGCAAGGGAAAGGAGAGGCTCAGGCGAAATAAAAAAGGTCCTGGGACATATGCAGAGCATAGACTAGGACTGCACTTTCTTCTCTAAAAACAAGAAAGGGCATCAAAGAAAAGATCCAACTGTGACTGTTAACTTCGAATAATGTACCAGAATTAGAAGGCATGTCCCCACAAAATGAGAAGGTTGGGCTAGATCAGTGTTTACCAACCTTTTTGAGTAGAATGACCCCTTTTGAACAATTACTGCCTCCCTTAGATAATAGTAGAAATATATGAGTTTAAACCAAAACCAAACTGTTGCCATCAGTTTCCCTCTGACTTTTAGTGACCCTGTGGGTGTTACAATAGAACTGTGCACTTCAAAGGGTTTTCAGTAGCTGACTTTTCAGAAGAAGATCACCAGACCTTCCTTTTGAGATACCTCTGGATGGACTTGAAGCTCCAATCTTTTGGTTTGCAACCAAGAATGTTACCTGCACCATCAGGGACTCCAGTTGTTAAATATGTTAAGTGCCGTGGAGTCGGTTCCGATTCATGGCGATGCTACATACAACTGGGAGAAATGCTTTCGGGTTCTGTGCTGCCCTTATAATCCTGGCTGTGTTGGAGCCCGTTGTTGCAGCCAGTGTGTTAACCCACCTCATTTAAGGTCATCCTCTTTTTTGCTGGCCCTCTACTTTACCATCCATGATAACCTTCTCCAGGAATTGGCCTCTCCTAATAATGTACCCAAAATATGTGAGCGAAGTCTAGCCATCTGGCTTCTAAGGAGCATTCTGACTGTACTTCTTCCAAGATAGATTTTTGTTTGTTCTTCTGACAGTCCATTTAATATTCTTTGTCAACACCATAATTCAAATGCATCAATTCTTCTTTGGTCTTCTTTATTCATTCATCACACACATATGAAGTGATTGAGAATACTATGGCTTGGGTTAGGTGCATCTCAGTCCAAAATGTGGCATCTTTGCTTTTTAACACTTTGTTGTGGTTGTTGTTAGGTGCCGTTGAGTT